TAGTAGTCCTTAAGAACCCCTATAGACACTATATAGTCCTGAATAGATAGGAGAACCCTTATTAGTACTATCTAAATCCTTTACTAGTCTAGGAGCTTACCCGGTAATTCCGACTCTAGGGCTTCCTACTATTATATAAATTTAGCGTCAGACTCCCCCTCTTTTTAGGATAAGATAGATTCGCTCTGGATCTATACCGCCACTTCCCGTAGGCGGGTATCGTTATCGTTAACCTAATAGGATAGCTAGGCCTATAGGGCGGCCTAGGTAACCCTATTAGAGTCGCTATCGTACTTATATCGTAGTTTAGCCTGCTAGCGTTCCTTAAGGTAGTAGGGGAGGTATAATATAACGAAGTAGTTCTTCGTAGCGTCCGTGGGGAAAGATTAAGAGTCTAGGTTAAACCGTTAATTTATTTCCTACATAAATATACGATACTTAGCCTAGGATACGCTATCCTATTTAGGTAAGGGAAAATTAAACTTAGCCTAGGTAGTGGACCCGTGTATAGAGGATAATATAGACACGTTATAGATATACTAGGAACCTGTTAGGGTCACGATAATACGGCGCTAAGGCTTAGCTATATAACGGTAGATAGTAGTATTAATAGCGGCTATAGTAGTAGCGGTAGCGGCGATAGCGGTAGTATCCGCCTTAAGCTTAACGAGATAAGCGAGCTTACGCTTATAGTGGTTCTACGCCTCTATCCACTTAACGCGTTTATTTAGTTATTCCTCCGTTAGCGTGGCTAGGTTAACGTTCGTATACGGGGGCAGGTTAGGGTTATACGCGGGTCCTATTATAGTTATAGGAGGGACGGGGATAGTAATAGGGATAAAGGTAGTAGTAGAGGTAGTACTAGCAATAGGAGTAGGTATAGGGGCAGGAATAGGTGCCGGTACGGTAATAGGTGCGGGAGTAGTATTAGTTCCCGGTATATTCCCGTTATATTCCTTATTAGCGGGGTTATAGGCGTCTTCTATGAAGGCGGTCTCGCTATCGCGGAGCTATTATTCGAACTAACTAGTAGCCTTATTAAAATTAAAGGTAGGATCGTTCATTTTATAATAGTTAGATATCTTAGTAACTCTCCTTAACGGTTTTCGCGCCCTTAGAGGGTAGAGGGAATAAAATATTAAATAGGTAGTCGTAAAGAGTAAAAAGGTAGGGTTAAGTAAGGAACCAAGTATAATTATAATAGAATTATAATAGGGTTAGAATATAGGTATAGCTAAAGAATCAGATTAATCGCTGGCCTCCCTCTTCTAAGGGGAGGCTCCCTCGCTCCTTAAAGCTACGCTCTACTCCTCGAGGACTACTTATTTACTTCCTTAAGGGCTGCCTTATTTACTTCGAGGGACTATTCTATTTACTTATATAATAACTTACTTTATTTATACCTTAAGGGGTCTTAGACTAGGTATACCTGGATCTCTGTGGGTTTATACTAGGGACCCATTATGACCACTGCTGCAGACACCTAATAATAGCTACCCACTTAACACTTCTTTATTAACTAGATATTTAGTTCTTATACGTAGTAGAACAATAGGCCTTATATTTACTAAATAGCCTTATAGGCTATTACTATAACTTATCTCTTCTACCTACCTTATCTCTAAGATAATTCTCCTCCTCGGATATTAAGTCTAAAGACTAAGGTAGGTACTACTCTCCTTCTCTATTTATATTATTTCTCGAAGTTTCCGAAAAGAATTAATACCTTATTAAGTATATAAGTTATAACCCCTAGCTTAAATATCGTTATAGTCCGAGTATTACCTTGGAAATATATAGGTAGTAAATCAAAATACCTATAACCAAGGTAGGTATATAGAGTAACTATAGTAATCTGTATAAGTGCGTAACTATTATAAATATATGGTTATATCTATCCAGTCTATAGATTATAGTTATAGCTTATGAGACTTAATCTGCTATGCCTTCTTAGTCACAACCTTAATTGTTTTACTCTAGTTTTTAGTTTATCCTACTATAAAAGCCACGGTGCTTATATTATAAATATACGTATATTATTATTTAAATAAAGTAAGGTAAGTTTAAACTTAGACAGACACGCCCCTCTTGAGGTATAGAAGGTAAGACTAAGTATAGCCTTAGTACCTAAGTATTATCCATTAGAACTATAAATATCTAGCTCTTTCGCCTAAATTCAGAGGTCGTGTTTTTCTTCTTTTCTCCTTATCGTCTCTCTCTTATATATCCGTACGCTACGGCACGGACATACCTAGTATAAAGGCTGTTTATTCTGTTGTTTTCTTTTATTCTTCTCGGTTCTATAGGATACCTACCCTGTCGATACATTTAAGAAGACTAATATAATTGTTAACAAGTTTAAAGTTGGATTATAGGAAGTCTACGCTAAATATTATGGCCCTAGTCTACAATACTAATAATATACTAATATCTGAGGTTTTTATATTATATAGGAAATAAACCTTGGTCTTCTAGGAAAGGAGTAAAAGAAATTATTGTATATTAATTCGTTAAGAAACAGTATCTACGATATCTCCGTTAATTTATATAAATACGACGGGGAGTTACTAAGTCTTTTATATAATAAATTATCTGTTAATATATTATTTCAAGATATACTTTCTAGGCGTCTTAAAGACCTTAGTAAGGATAACTTAACTATCCTTTACTATATTAGTTATAGAGTATGCCGGATTCTATATTATAGTCTTTACCTATACTTATTAATTAATATAATAAATAATAGTGATATTTTCTCTAAAATCGATTTTCACGATTTCCGTACTAAGATAATTAAGCCAGCTAAGCCAGATATCCTTATACTTATAGATTATTATTACGCCGCGAGAGGGGTAATTAGTATTCGAAAAGAACTTATTATAGTATCTGCTTACGATTAACCTACGTATAGCGGTAATACTAGATTTATAGTACTCTTATCTACATTCTTTAACTTACTTTTAACCTAAGTATACATTAAGCTTAGCGTAATTAGTTAGCCGCTTACGTATAAGGTCCTTTCTTTCTTTTAATAATTAGTCTATACTAAAGACTGTACTATATTTCCTTAGGTCTAATAAGGATACGGGGGCGAATAAGGCTATCTCTCTTACCCTTAACTTTCCCCACGATAACTAGATACTGGAAGCCGCTTACTCGCTAAGCATCTAAGTCGTTTAAGTTATACTCCGCGTTCACGTTTAAGACTCGAATAAGAGTATAAAGAAAGCCTTAAGGCTATAGCTATAGAAGAATCACTCTTATAATATTATACGAGTAGCTATTAAGGGTATACTCCCTTCCTTCTTATACGTTATTATTTTCAAGATTATACTAAATATCTAGTATAGTATACAGAGATATCTCACTATATTATTTAGTAGTTTTACTAAGAATAAAAGGATATATAGCTAGGAGCTAATAAAGGAGAAGTTAAAGTCGTAGGAGTATTCGCCTTAGAAACGATTAATCTAACCTAGTATTCTTAATTCTAGGCGCCCTTTTAGCTATAGTCTGTCCTCTGGTTATAGCTATAGCTTACTCTCTGGTTCTCTTATAGCCTCCGGTTCTAGCTCTAGACCTATTAGTATACCCTTCTTTTAAGGATACAATTACAGGAAATATCTTATTCCCGATTAATTCTAAAAACTCTAGACCTCGTGAAAACTACTATAATAGTCACGAGAATAACCCCTGATTCTTCTAGAGAGCCGTCATTCCGACTATAGTAACCGGTTATTCCCACTATAATTTGGCTAAGACTTATAAATTTCCCTTTTCGGAATCCTATCTTCTATACACAGCTAGGTATATACGGTTATAACGATTTTGAATAACTATAATATCGTGTTTAAGCTTTTTATAGAGGAACTAATTCAAACCTTTTAGTTGATTAAAGGTAGTAATAGATATAATCTTAGTGGCTCGGATCGAGACCCATTATTTTATTATACGGTTAAATCCCACTAATTAAGGTTATATTATAGAATTTAGCTCCCTATAGCCACGGCCACATCCATGGCCACGGCCGCGGCCGCGGGTATCACGACCACCTTATTATTATTGTTATTACGAGGCAAACCTCGCCGCCTCCCGTTATTCCTCTAGTTTCTGTTCGGAGAGCTTACGGGCGTTATCCTTATTAATAGACAACGATCGTAAATACTAGGCTATAAAGTTAATAATAGGCCTAGAGTAATAGAAAGGTAGTAGTAAGCTAAATCCTAGCTTCTGATTAGCTATAAAGTGGGTCCATGACCGAGCTATAGTCGGAATAACCAGTTACTATAGTCGGAATAACGGCTCTTATCTATATAATCCTGTGTACTTTATATTCCCGAGAGAATTATTAAGAGACTTAATAGGGAGACCTTATCTTTTAATATCAAGACCTTAAACGTGATATTTTAGTGGGGCTATGACTCGCCGCTAAGATATATATATATATATATATACCACACCTAATTTATATATATACTTTATATAGAAACTCGTAGGCGATATAGTAAACCTTAACTATCACTTCTTACACCGTAACTCTGAATCTAACTACCTAAAACACTATACCAATAAGTTATGATATCCTATATAATATTCTATACGATAGCCTATACGATATTCTATATAAAAATAACCGGTTACCCCTACGGCTCTAAGCTAAGTATTATAATTTAAGTATAAGGATTAAGTATTACAATTAAGTTACTTACGATATTACCTATAATTTCTTATATATAATATATATATATATATATATATATATAATAGGTGCGGTATATATGTATCTTGGCGGTGGCGTTATAGCCCTACTAAAATGTCACGTGCGAGGTCTCGATATTCCAACGTGAGGTCTCCCCATTGAATCCCATTATTTCATTCGCTGATTAGGTACTAGGCACGAAGTGGGTAGTTTGTATACTCCCCTTTAGAAAGGCACGTGACTTTTGTGTAGTCTTCGATGACCCATGTAACTCCATAAGAGCTTTAATAAGAGCTTCAAAACGGCTGTGTAATTATGGATGTGATACTTTTGGCATGGACTTAATTACTTTATCATTGCAACTAATCGACTCAATTGATAAGGTACTCAATCAGATGCCCGTCTCGTTTGTCGCATCTCAGACTTTGTGGGCTGGGATTGTCCGGATAGGCTGAGGTGCAGGACTGGGATCACCCTCGCTTCGCTTTCGTCGATTTCGTCACCTCCTGTTTTCGGTCTTCTGGCGATCTGAGCCTGAAGCATCACCGAGGACAACGATTCACAGGGGCAAAGGCAATCGGGCCCAATTCCACCCCTAACAAGCAGATAACCAAAACCGCATCGCGACCAAGATGGCATTAACGCTCCAGAGCGCCATCAGAGGCGCTGACAAGTCAGATGCCATCATTATCCCATCCAAGCCAAAGCCGCTCATCGCGACGTATGCGGATCTGAAGAGGGAGGCGGCGTCATTCCAACAGAAGCTGGCCGCCATCGGCATCACCAAGGGTTCCGCAGTGTCCATCGCCGTGGTCAACTCGTACGAGTTCATCGTTTCGTTCCTGGCCGCCTCGTGGCAACGCGGCATCGCTGCGCCCCTCAACCCGGCCTACAAGCAGGAGGAGTTCGAATTCTACATCGAGGACATCCAGTCGGCCATTGTTCTCGTTCCCAGGGGCGCTTATGCCAGTAATGCTCCGGCTGTCCGGGCTGCCAAGAAATTCAATGCTGCCGTTGCTGAGACGCACTGGGACGAGTCCCTGAAGGAGGTCGTCCTTGATGTCAAGGATGTCGGTGGCCTGCGAGGCAAAGGCCGGGAGAAAGTCCTGAAACCCGAGGCCGATGATGTTGCCCTTGTCCTTCATACTAGGTGGGTAACTTTGCGGTCTTCCTTTCCGCAAGGGGGGAGGGGGAAAAAGTAGTTACGGATAGATCGCTGACGGCTGTGTAGCGGGACGACTTCGAGACCAAAGGTCGTACCTTTGACCCATGCAAACCTGACCCGTACCATGAGTGCGTTGTGCTCCTAGCGATTCCATCAGACGACTTTTGCGCCTAGAACTAACACCAAAGGCCAGAAAACATCCAGCAGACGTATCAGCTCACGGACAAGGACCGCACAATGCTGGTCATGCCGCTCTTCCACGTCCACGGCCTGTTGTGTGCCCTGCTAACTCCCCTCTACTCGGGAGGCTCTATGGTGGTCCCCGTCAAGTTCTCCGCGAGTGACTTCTGGCGGGACTTTATTACTTACAAGGCCAACTGGTACACGGCTGTGCCGACAATACACCAGATCCTCCTCCGAAGCCCGGTCCCTAGCCCGCTTCCCGCCATTCGCTTCATCCGCTCGTGCTCTTCGCCGCTTTCGCCGACCGTGTTCCACCAGCTGGAGAACACATTCAAGGCGCCCGTGTTGGAAGCCTACGCCATGACGGAGGCGGCGCATCAGATGACGTCCAACCCGCTACCGCCCGGCAAGAGAAAGCCCGGCACCGTAGGTCTCGGACAAGGGGTGGAAGTGCGGATCCTGGACGACAGCGGAAAGGAACTCTCCCAGGGCGCGGAGGGTGAGATCTGTATCAAGGGCGACAACGTGACCAAGGGGTACCTCAACAACCCGAGCGCCAACGCGTCTTCCTTCACGGCAAACGGGTTCTTTCGGACGGGAGACCAGGGAAAGAAGGACGAGGATGGGTATGTCATCATCACGGGCCGCATCAAGGAGCTCATCAACAAGGGCGGCGAGAAGATCAGCCCCATCGAACTCGACAATGTCCTCACGCGGCACGAGGCCGTGTCCGAAGCCGTGAGCTTCGCCATCCCTGACGAGCTGTACGGGAACGAGATTGGCGTGGCCATCGTCATCAAACCGAGCAAGACGCTAGGGGAGGATGAGTTGCGCAACTGGGTGGCCGAAAAGCTGGCCAAGTTCAAAGTGCCTAAGAAGGTAAGGAAGAAAGGAACCATAATCCCCTTTTGTGTCACCTGCTGGCATCTCCGTTAGCGATATGCGGGGGGAAGCCTTGCTGACTTTTCGCCACAAGATCTATTTTACCGAGACGATGCCGAAGACGGCCACAGGCAAGATTCAGCGGCGCATTGTTGCCGAGACGATGCAGAAACAGGAGAAGTCCAAGGCCAAGCTGTAGAGTGTCTCCCGAGGAGGGGTGAATGTGCAGAAGACGGGCATATATATGCCTGTACATATATCACATGTGTTAGGGCAGCCGGGTGGGCCAGAGGTGAAACATGACTATACGCATCATCAGAAAGCTCAGTGAGCAGCAAGCTGGACAAGCCGGACAGAATTATATGAAAGTACATCATCCTTCATGTGGCACAAGACATCATGCTGGTAGACATCGGTGTAATAAAAATCTGATATGATTTGTCCACACTTGTATCTTGCAGACACTTCCCCTTCTAACATGGTCAAATGTACAGGTAGAGCTATGACTTGGACTGCTACTGTGCCAAGTTGTATACCTTGTTGTGGCAGCATGATAATGTGAGGCAGAATATGATGCTGTATGAGCTAGAACTATATGTAAGGTACCTCAGTTGGGGTGTTGTCCTACCTTGTACGGGACTACGGCACCAGTGGAATCCGCGGTATGGTAAAGTGGAGTTCCTAGGGTACAGTAGGTGCCTCATCAGTAGGGCAAGCCGTCCAAGCTTGGGGCCCGTACTCAGTCGCAGCTTTTGCTACGCTCTAATAATACCTTAGATACCTACCTAATAAGGTAGCTCTTCACTCTTTACTTTCCGACAAGTCTCACCACAACTCTCAGTCATTGATCCCTTTTCGCCGCCTCACACCGTTCCCCTGCTGCCCATGCCCACGGATTCTTTTGCCTTCACCTACTCTTCTTGATTTCTTCCTCAGAATTCTATGCGATACGACTGCCAAATATAATGGCAGCCCCCCCACCGCCGCCTCCAGCGCGGGGCGGCCTCTCTCTTTACGCGAACCTCCTCGACACTCCCTCATCCTCGGACGCCTCTGCAACCATCTCGAGCGCTCCGGTCCGATACACTCAGTCCGGCGAACCGATAGACCCCAGAGATGCAGCTGCGACAGCAGCTGCCAAGAAACCGCTAGATCCATGTTCCTAACCCACCCTCCCCCTCCCCCTTCTGCCTCGCTACGACCTGCCGCTCACAGCTCACAGCTCTTCGGTTCCAACCCATCCGCCGTCCGCAAGCCAAGACGACAACCAAACCGAAAGTCGGATTCCCAAAGTCCATACCTGCCGCGCAAACGTCGACACACCCGACGACGACCTCAGCAGGGCTTGGAGGCCCAAACCCTCCAGGCCCAGCAGTTCACGCACCCCCCAAGACGACTACCCTCGCCGACTGGGCAGCCAACGAAGAAGACGAATGGATGTACGGCACGGCCGAGAAGCGACAGCGCGGCGGACGAAGAAAGAAGAAGAAAAAGATTGGCCAGGAACAGCATCTCCAGACCGACTGGGAAGAGATCTACGATCCTACCAAGCCCACCAACTTCGAAGAATATATGCGTAGCGACGAGCGCATCCGCGAGATCCAAGAATGGAAGGCCGTTCTGTACCGCCATCGTCGCGAGAGAAGTCTCAGCGACGACAGCGATGAAGAAGAGCAAACCAGGAGTCGCTCTGCGCCAAGTATATTCTCTCTGCAGTCTCCCTTCCACCTATGCTTCACCACGCACCCTGAAGACTAACAAGAGTCCGGAACAGATCAGTTTGCTCCGCCTCCGAACTACAACTTTGCTCCTCCGCCATCACCCCCCAGAACCGCCGCTGCACCCCCCGTCCTCGACGATGCGACGGGCGATGACGCCTACGTTCGCCGCCTGGCCCTATCCGGCGCAGCGCCCCCTCCGTCGCCTCCGCCGCCTCCTCCTCCGCCTCCTCCCACAGGCCTTCCTCCTGTCGAACCCCCTACGGACACCGCGACAATATCCCGCGCCCCTGTTCGATATCCTCCACCCGAACCCACACCCGCCGACAAAGTAGCAGAAGAAGAAGAAGAAGAACAAGAAGAAGAAGCAGCAGCAAACGAAAACGACGGCTACTCGCCCCCACCTGTTCTGGGTCTGAGCAGCGGCGCCACCCCAGACCGGGACGCACCCGAAACCCACCAGCCGCGCTCCAATCGACCAGGCCAAGCCGGCTTCGCGCAGAGGCTCATGTCCAAGTACGGCTGGACCAAGGGCTCCGGCCTGGGCGTCGACGAGTCGGGCATCATCAACCCGCTGCGCGTCCAGGTCGAGAAGCGCAAGAAGAAGAGCGACGCCGAGGGCGGCGGCTGGGCCGAACCAGCTGCCAAATCCCGCATTCTCGGCGGTCGGCGAAAGGACAACGGGGCCTCTCGCTTCGGCCCCATGAGCGAGGTCATCGTGCTCCGTAACATGCTCGAAGGCATGGAGGACCTCCAGGGAGAGATTGCCAACGGACTGGGGCAGGAGATCGGCGAGGAGTGTGGCGACAAGGTGAGTCTCCTCTTTGCCCTTCTATCACTTTGCCCAATGGCAATACAAGTTATCGAAAAATAAAAATAAAAAGATAAAAACCCGTACTGACATATGGCAATCCAGTACGGCCGCGTTGAACGCCTCTACATTGACACCGAGGACCGCCAAGTTTTCATCAAATTTACAGACCAGGTCTCGGCTTTGCGTGTATGTACTTCTCATCTCACGCACAAACCCCCTGCCCCCGATTCTCTTCATTACCGTCCGGCGAGGGACTTGGTGCAAGTTTGAGCAAGCAGTTCTTCAACGCTCTCAGATTGAGATATGCTAACCCACCCTCATCCAATAGGCCGTCAACGAGCTGGACGGCCGCATCTTCAACGGCAACACTGTCCGCCCAAGCTTTTACGACGCAGAGAAATTTGAGCAGGGCATATATCGGTGTGAGGGGGGCCATTTACTTCATCAGGCAGGCGAGGAAAGAGGGGCCAGGTAGAGGGCCAGTCGTAGCAGTACAGCTATGGTCACGGAGAGAGCAGCCACACAGAATGAAGTGATTAAAAAAACATATTACCATCGTCCCAAATCATCCAGGTATTAAGTCTAGACGGGTTCCTCATAGACAAAAGAGTAGCCGCTTGGAAAGCACAACCGCCACGCAAACAAGGTACAATTAGTAGAGAACTATGAGCAAAGAATGCATGGTTAACGCCACACCACCCCGAGACCATGTTCATGTTCCAACAATGGACTCCTCTACAGCAGGAGCTGGGCAAGACCGACAACGGCGGCCACGGCCATGAGGCCGCTCATGTCGGTGCGGATCAAGTTGCCGGCGCTGTCGTCATCATCCGAGTTGTTGCCACCGCTGCCACCGCTGCCACCATTGCCGTCGCTCGACTCGGCATTGTTGGCATCATCCTCTTCGCCCACGCAGTTGAAGGTGCCCTGGACCACGCTGTTCTCCAGGTCTCCGAGCTCTTCGCAGACCTCCTGGATATCCATTGTGCTGACAACGTCGAAGGCACCCTTGACATCGTTGAGGGCAGGAAGCTCAACCCTAAAGAGCGACATGTCAGCATCCAGGCGAGACCACATATATTGCCAACAGACGGTGGTAACCGCCGCTTTGGGAATGAACTTACTCAGTGAACTCGCCACCAAACAGGACGGCACCGCCAACCTGTTCAAGGTTGGGGAAACCGGTAATCGTTTCCAGAGCGGTGTTGTTGAGAATGGTGAGACCACCACCGATGCTCTCGAGCAGGGGCATGGAGATGTTGGTGAGTTGAGTGTTGTTGGTGAAAGAAATGGCACCCCTGTCGGCAGTGGTCAGGTTCGGGGCCGAGAAGGACTCAAAGTTATTTTGATCCAGGTACATGGAGCCGTTGACAACCTCGAGGGAAGGAACCTCAAGGCTGGCAGCATTGCCGATCCTGATCTCCTCGGCCCACACGAGGTTGGCGAGGGTGATGTTGAGGTTAGGATTGTTCGAAGTGATTTCGAGGATGGTAGAGACGTTGGCAAGCTGAGTGCTGTACGAGACGAGGCGGTTGTTGTTGTTAATGTGGAGAGAATCGACGGTACCCAGGTTGAGACCATCGAGACTGCCGAGGAAAGTGTCGCTGATGCGAACGCTCTTGGCGTTGGTGACACCCGCAATGCCGAAAGAAAATTCACCGAGGAAAGGAAGGTGGAGCCAATGGATCTCGCCAATAGTGGCCAGGTTGGCGAACTGAAGCTCGGAGAGGGCGGTCAGACCAGACATCTCGAACCTGCCCTCGATGGCGGCCAGAGTATTGCTCGAAAGCCTGACGAGCTGCGTGACGTTGTTGACAATCAGGTCGCCCCTGATAGTCTCAGGACCGTCAAGTTGTACAACGCCGGCCAGGTCGGAGGAAACCTCGATAGAGCCCTGCATGGTACGGCAGGGGATGTTGGTAGCCTGGGCAGCATCGGTGATGGTGTATGTGGCCGTCGAGCAAATGCCGGACTGAGCTGTACAACAAAAGTCGCGTCAGATCGGGGGATTCCAAGCAGCAGGCTGCAGGTGCAGCGATGACTTACCAGACACAAGGTGGGCTCCGAGCGCCACAAGGGCGGGGGCAAGCTTCATGGCATGCATTGCGAGTGGTTGTATTATGCTCTGAACGCGGACAGGTCAAGGTCAGCAGGCCGAATTCACCAAAAGACAAGCGACGCGTGCCCGAGATACGCTGGCGATTCTGATGGAACGAGATAGGGAGAAACTTGATGAAGGGTAGTAAAACAAATATGAAGGCTGGTTTCAAAACTGCTTTTGGCTTTCGGAAGAGAGACTTGGAGTAGTGGTTGTGTTTGTGGGAGGGAAATGGTCAAAGGCGCGGTCTAATGCAATGGTTTGAATAGACGGAGATGGTTTCGGAGCTGTCCAACCCAACTAATGTGGGCAACTAGGTCACTCTTCTCCCTTCTTCCTTCTTTTCACGCCTTTTATCCTTTAGAGGAAGGGGCGAAGCGCAGCAGTGCGGTGGTGGGGAGGCAGAGTTGATGTTATCGGCGGTGGTATGTGCTTGGTGGTGTTGGGACGGTAGATGTTGTTGAATGTTTTGGGAGGCAGCAAGAACATTCAAGGGGCCAAATGGATGACAGAGGCAGGTTTCTGGCCGATCGTCCACTGGAAACCAGGGCAACAGAACCATATGCTGACGAGCATCTCATCAAACCCAATTGGCCGTCCTCCTCTGTCATTGCCAAACATTCCTCGGGAAACAAAGAAGAGAAAGTTGACTGGTGTCAAACCATCTTGGGGAATGTGATACACATACCTCTTCACAATTTGCAGTTGCGGTATTCGGTCTGAAAAGGCAAAAAAAGAAGGGTAAAAAGGGAGTAGTGAGCGAGAGACTTAGAATGCGGTTCCCTTGAGTGTAAACGAGCGTACGAAACCAGGAAAAACACACAGGTCGAATATGAAGCTGTCACCGAAGAGAAGGGAAGGAAGAAGAGGCAGAAAACCTAAAAGAAAAAAAGGGTGGAAGATTTGGGGGGGCGGAGGGTAAGAGAGCCCGGAGCTGAGACGCGGGAAAGACCACCAGACTGGAAATGCAGTAATAAAAGGGGCGACGGCAGTACCTACTGCCGTACCTTGCTTGTATGATAAAGTGCCAGCAGGACCTGATTTCGCCTACCTTAGGGTGAAAAAGAGGGGGGGTGTCTCTAAAGCCAACAGGAATTCTCATTCGCCAGTAGCATTTAAGTTGCCCCCCCGCCCGCCCTTTTCCGATGTGCTGCGTACGTTGTAGGCCGGTTTTCTAGGAGAATTCTGACCAGGGGCCGTCAGGGGCAAATGTCGCAGGGGATGATTGGCGAGGCCAACGTGTAAGGTTACCCAGTTCGTTTTCTTCGTGAATCAATCAAGAGCAAAGTGTGACAACACAACAACGCATCATCCAGGCTATAACTACCGGTATAACCGTCGAAGGAAGTGACTGTTTAATTAATAAAAACGGTGCTTAGCGAACGATACTAAGTGGCGATGTATGCTTCGTAACAGAGTACCTTAGGCAGAACAACACGATGTCGATCTTCTTCTCGTTTTTCTCTGGCGAGATTTGATACTTGTTCCTGTGCCATGACATCGCTGATAACAATGCGTGCATCAATTCTATAAACCCCCCCAGGGGTGAGGCTAATAATGCATACACTAACCCGAAGCAGGAATCCATGATGTTCTAAGACCACGAGTCTGCATGACCACGCCACTGCCGCACCCCAAGAAGCGCCATCCTCCGCCTTGGACAAACGCAATTCTGCCAGACTCATTATTAAGTACTATAACCGTCAACCACATTTCGCCCTTTTTATTCCCTACGGGAGCTCCCCCGACTCATGCAAACCCAGGCGGAAAATCCTGTTTGATCAGGGCAACTAAAGGTTAAAAATTAATACGAAGTCCTACGTTGTAGACAGTGCTACCGACCAGTGGGTCTCTGAAGCAGTTTGTGATGTTCATGCTGAGTATTTCGTATGAATTAGATGGTATTCTTCGACTGGCTCCCGACATTCGTAAGCCCAGCGTTGAGAGGGAAAACGATGACGCATGACTCGGGGCTCTAATAGCTGGCGACGCTCCTACCATTTGGCCTCGGCTTCTCGACAGATGAGCAATGGTACCCAACTGTTTCTAATCAGTCTCTAATAGGACAAGTTGTAGATGATTCTACACGTGTACGTTGTAGGGATTCATTACTCCGTAATTACTAAATTAGTGACTATCCGTAATTGTATTGTAACCTCCTGTATGGCCATCGACCGTCAAGGTTTCTTTCAACTCGCCCCGGAGCTTTTGTAATTATTTCTCCACCTTCATGGTTTTCGCTGACCCAAGGTATTAGTATCACACCGTAATCACATGTCGTTAGTCCGCAATTTGGGGCGATTGCGGATGGGTTTACCAAGTATTACAACAATGCTCTTCATCCATTCGTCTTTTCTTTGTACGAATACCTTCCTTGCTACTGTGTGCCAGCACCCATCTCGAATTCTTCTTCTTCTTCTTCTTCTTTTTTCTTATTTTTTATTATTAAAAAAAGTGGGGGGAAGGAGGCAAGGAAAAGGAAGAAAAGAAGCCCTTAAGAAATTAAGAAAGGACATACCTTGAGACGCTGCAAAATCTCCCCGAGCCAAGACCTCATATTTCCACGTCGATACCTACCCACGAAGTCCCATCGTCTCATGCCGTTGCAAAAGTGGCCTACGCGTTCACTGATAATCAGACAAGTCCAACACGACGTCACGAGAGTTCTTCGTCGGCATGCTCATCCGCGGGAAGTACCACAATGGATCTTAGATCGCCTCTGCAGGACAACCTATTAGTCGAGACAAATGAACGTGATAGTTCAGAAATATTATAAACATACATAATCTGACCATGCGTCGGGTCGTCTATCACTCAAGCATGCTGATATCTGTTTCTTCAACACGCCACATATACCACATGAAGACGCTACGATAAGGAGCGAACCTCTCCGAGATTTCCAGCATCTCCTTCTCGGACATATACTTCCACTTCCCGCCCTTCGCCTTGAGTTTGGCTATATCCCGGCCCATGAACGCCGCCATGCCCCTTTGCACCCCAAGGTCGCCCAGCGAGAAGACATCCATCCGCTTAAGCGCGAAGCACGCAAACATCTCGACAGACCACCGACCCAGCCCGCGCACCGCAATCAGCTTCTCCAGCACCTCCTCGTACGGCGCCTCGGCGAGCATCTGCGCGCCGAGTTCGCCGCTCGTAAACTTCTCCGCCAGCCCTGTGATGTACTCGGCCTTGCGCTGCGACAGCCCCGCCGTCCGTAGCCTCTCCATGGGCATGGCTACCACCTGAGATGGGTGCGGAAATCCCTTGGTCCCGAACCCAGCCCCATCTGGCCCTTCGTCGTCGTCGAAGAGGGCGACGAACTTGGCTTTGATCGACTTGGCTGCGGCGCCAGACACTTGCTGAGAAATGACGCCGCTACACAAGCTCTCGAAGGGGTCGATCTTCTCGGCGAGCCCCTCGGGTGAGAAGATACGGCAGTGGTGCTTCTCTATGAGGGGTTTCATGCGGGGGTCGACGCGGATGAGGTGCGCGCACGCTTCTTCGAGGATGGTTGCCGTTGTTGTTGCTGTTGTTGTCTTTTCCCTCGGTGGTGAATCCTTAGTGTGAGCCGCACGAGGCGGCTTGGAGGGCGACTCGGGGCCGGTCTCGGGGAGGGCAGGTCTGGAAGCGACGACGCGAGACGTCTCCGGGGAAAGTAGAAGTGCATTGGTTAACTTGGGGTCGGCAAGCCGAGCCACGGCGGCAACGCGCGGCTTTTTACTTGCCGTGCCGTTGATATGCTCGGCAATGAGGCCGACAGCGCTGGGTGTGGGTGTCTCAGGGGGGTTGAGAGGGATAGAAGTAGTTGAGGCGGCAGGCCTGCCTTTCTGAGTCGTTCTCTTGATAGGTGTTACAGGTGGAGGGCGTTGCGGTCGTGACGATTCTCCTGGAGATCCATCTTTTGTGTCCGTAGTCTTTCGCTTCCGTCCCCTTGGTGACCGTGGTGCTGATGCCGGTGCTTCCGTTTCCGATCGTGAAGGAGGCGATACCTGGTCTGAAACGGTGTTGGTTTGCGCCGCGGCGCGGAGCCGGGCTGAACGACGGGTGGCTGTCATGACTGATGGTGCAGATGAAGACGACTATCGCCGGCCTTGGAAAGAAGACAAGTTTGTATGTGAGGTTTGACGGAGTGAGGATATTCTCATACACCCACTGTATGGTAAGCCTGTAAGAACCCAGGTGAATTCTGCAGAGTGGCGAGGTAACCCCAGGAAACTTCGGATCATAGACTCGGCGTCCTTTGAATAATTGGCATTCGCTTTAAGAGGGCGACCGTCAGAAACAACGGTGATGTCTTACAGCATAAAAGAGAATATTGGTTGTGTTAACCAGGGTCAAGTTGGTGCAGTCAGCTTGTACCCGGAATACGGCAACGGCAGTTGAGGCTCTGTCATGTACGCCCTTCACGGTAGGTACCTGAATGGAGAAGAATTGGACAGAAAATACAGATCGAGACTTTACATAGTGTGCAAGCGGGCGTGTCACATCAAAGTACACATATGTATATATTGTCCAGCTACTATACCTACACGTGTACCTTTCATACAGCGGTACTGCATCCCTCGCAAACCACCTCGAAACGAGGAAGAGGTTCGTTAGACCAAGTTGCCGCCCACTGGCTGTGGCAAAGTCAATTGCCCCTTATATTACGATTATCTTTATTCCTCGCTCGCTGTTCTGCACAACAGACCGGTCAGCATGTGGGGTTTTTTCTTCTTTTCTTTTTCTTCATGGAAGACACGTTACTGGCATCGAACGAGGTCCAACAACCGCATAGGAGTAGCGGAAAGTGATGTAAGCGGAGACCTTTGGAGTGTTACTCTACTTCGCGTTTCTCACGCGATTGTGCGAGGGAACTGGTTCTGGATCCCCATCTCTGCGTTCTCAGAATCCCATGTTTTCGCGCCGCACCTTGTTGGTGATTTTTTGCCTTACTACAGATTCCATTATTCATGATTGGTTCGACCTTCAAAAGGATTGAAGACTGGCGTGGGTGTCTACACTAGGCTCCTGTACCGAATGTGGTAGGGTACGGAAGAGAAGCTACGGTACTTCGTAGATGGGTACAGTAATTACACGCGCCACGCGTTTTCAGAACCTTGCTTGGTACCAATTACTCAATAAATTACCAAGTCAGGTAAAGATACCTTACCTTAATTAACCTTCCAACTTCTTGATTGAGACTCTTCCACGAGAGACCGCCGTCAGCATCACTTCGACGACGCACCTACAGCCTTGTCCATCATTGTCATATTGTCGGAAGTTAGACGTATCTTACGCCGCCACGTACGTCCAGGCCATTGTCAAGCCTGCCCCTGTTTGAAGGCCTCAGCTTCCCGATCTCATCCTCCCTACGATTCCAGGTCCGCCGTCGAGCCGAGCGCTTGTCCCGAATATATGGTTCGCAGTGACCTGATTATCGCTACTTTCCACTTTATTGTCAGCTCTTCGACTGTCCCGCCTGTCTCTCTCACCAACTGAGACAACAGCTGGCCTGACCACAGCTTTGGCCGTCATACTAGCAGTCGGGAGACGAACGAACGATAAAACCCATACGACTCGGAACGAGACTCGACGACCTCTTTGCTCCGATTCTTTCTCTCCTTCTGCCACGCATTGGTCATTCAACATTCTTTACCGACGTCTTCTGCCAACCACACTCAAAGTGTTTTGCGCGCATCCGTCGCTTCAGGAGTTGGTAGAGCAGAGGATAGAGGGCGGATCAAGGGCTTGCCCCTGAACACGGCGACTGACCATGCTTCTCCCCAAAGATAACGTCACATGGAAACCTTCAGAGACAAGATTCCGGTCTACTCGGGCGCTATGGCTGCTCGCAACTCGATCACGACTGCTCGTTTGTGTCGTTCTATCGGTTTTTCTCTTACTGCTATGGCGGGGCTTTAGCACCTCGTCGCATAGAATGGACAGGCATGTCGCATCACAGCAACCCGAATACCAGGGCTTCCTACCCGCTGTTTTAGGGCCCCATGTGCTAACGCGCGCAAACGACTCCATAGATTCTACTGCTGGGGACCCCCTAAAGCGCCAATGGACATGTCAGCCAACGAGCGGGTGGCATGGACAAGACACCTCCAGACTCCCGTCATCTTCAACCACCACGCCCCGATCGAAGTCAATGCTACTACAATACAACACGTGAACCTGAATCCGATCGTATCCACGCCTAATGCTGTCAAGAACGAGGAGCGCGTACTCATCCTTACTCCGGTCAAGGACGCCGCTCCATTCTTGGCCAAATACTTCGAGCTTGTCGGGGAACTTACGTACCCGCATCACCTCATTGACTTGGCCTTTCTCGTCGGCGATTCGCAGGACGACACTGTTGCCGTGCTAGCCGCCGAACTCAACCGCATCCAACAAGGCCCGGTGCCCTTCCGAAGCACCATGATCGTCGAGAAGGACTTCCATTTCCAACTGAGCCAAGACGTAAAGGAACGTCACTCCTTTGCCGCTCAGGGGCCCCGGCGCAAAGCCCTGGGACGCGCGCGAAATTACCTTCTATCAGCGGCCCTGAAGCCGGAACATGCGTGGGTCTATTGGAGGGACGTCGACATAGAGGAGAACCCCCCGACCATCATTGAAGACTTCGTCGCCCATGACGTCGATATATTGGTTCCCAGTATGTGCTGCTGCTCATGGCCTTCTCTTTCATGCACCACGCCTCTGCAGGTCTATGCTTGCTAACTACTGGCGGGGGAAGATATTTGGTTTCACCGAATTGAGGATGGCGTCGACATTGAAGGCCGCTTCGACTACAACTCCTGGATCGAGTCGCCAAAGGGAATCAAGCTGACGAACCGCCTCCCCAAAGATGTCATTGTGGCCGAAGGTACAGCGAATCCAGTGGCAGTCCCCATTCCGTCTCTACATGTCCCATCGTCTGAACTAACATTGCATCTGCAGGATACAAAGAAATGGACACAGGCAGGACTTACCTAGCGGCAATGGGTGATCGGCACGATAACAAAGACGTTGAAGTCGAGCTTGACGGTGTTGGGGGTGTAAACATTATTGTCAAGGCCGATGTGCACCGATCAGGTTGGGACACAATCTCCATCTCCGCGCCCTCTCTGCACGAAGTTCATCCGCTGACATGTCGCCTTCAGGGATCAACTTCCCATGCTACGCATTTGAGAACCAGGCTGAAACGGAAGGGTTTGCCAAGATGGCCAAACGGGCTGGCTACAAGGTCGTCGGACTGCCAAACTACGTCGTATGGCATGTTGACACGCTTGAAGAGCCAGGCAACGCATGATAGCACGAGAATCCCCGTTAGACCTACCGAATACCCCTCTTCGCGCACGTGGACGCCCCTCTATGCCTCCTATCCCTCCCTGGCGTCGACGGCCGGGTCTTGAGCCCATCTTCACACCTGGGCAATGCCCCAACTGACATGATAGTATTCACCATGCCAGCGCCCAAAGGCACAGCGTTCCGGCAGAGATTGGCCTGCCGAGTTGGATATGGCATCACATGGCTCGTCGAGCCTTTCCCACGGCCGAATATCTGCCGCCGTTATATGTTCAATATGGGGTCGGAGGGGTCGACCCGTCCCCCTAATCATGCTAAGGACTGGCCGCAATTTCCCCGCCCGTCTCGACGGACCTGCAAGGTGTTGTATCCGATGATGTGTTGCATGTACAGAGGAGACAAAAGGCAGGTTTGTTTGGTTGAGTTACCTTTAATGGACTTGGAAGGCGTTATTCTATCAAAACGGAAATTGGCGTTGAAAGACTATCACGTATCCAACAAGTGTATTACCTACTACAATGGAGCGATGAGCTCAAAAGATAATGAAGGTTCTCTCGATTCCGTGTCCTGTGCAACGGGCTGGCACTGAAGATGGCGCTCTGATTGCTGCCCACTGGCCGTGACAGCCGATATATCCATGGATCACGCTAACTCCCTGCTCCTTTACTTTGTGCGACTTGATGTGATGCACACGGGGAGTGGAGTCGGATAGGCACGGCCATGATGGAGTGAACGTAATTGAAAGAGAAAACCCCGGAGTCTATACATGGGAAGGTAGCTTACACAAACCGCCCAACTCGCTCATCTATGGTCACTTCGCCTCGCGGGAATCATATGGCTGGAACGAGGCCTCCTTCCCATCCTAAGCCCGCCCGTTCCCCACCCCCCACCCCCCTCGTATCCTGTGGTCTTCTTGCTAGTTTACAGAGCAACTAGAGTGGCTGACGCCTTGATCTAGTGCTTCTTAACAACCTCCAGAGTGTCCAGGGCCTTAGCCTCGGCCATCTCAGCCTGTATCTGCTCAACGAGGGGAGAAAGATAAGGGACATCCTTCAAGTCTCAGAGGTTAGCACTCGTTCGTTTTTGTACGATATAGTTACAGCCCGAGCGTCCCGTCCTCCCTCATTCGTTGTCTGGGCCGTATGTCGCCGCATCAAATAACCCCATCTTTGTTTCTGGCGTCCTCGACTTGCTGTGGGAATCGAAGGCAAGAAGGAAGAATTGCTCACCTCCTCGGGCTTGGTCCATTGGTCTCGGGGGAGAAGCTTCTGTTGGTAGCTGCACTGCACGGCGCGGCGGATGCGGTAGATACGGTCGTAAGCCTCCTTGGCCGGAAGGCGCGTCAGAGCCTTGGCGACGTCTTCACGCTCTTCCTCGAGCAGGTCATCGAACCTATGGTGGGATCTTGTTAGTCCCCTTTGTTTCTTCGGTCTTCCATGTTTCCCTTTCCTGCAACCTGGGCACGTCGCGATCTTGTATTATTCCTCGCATCGGCATTTCGTGTTCCCTCCTCTGCCACCTTGACAACTTTCTTGCGAGAAATCAATGGGGACGACAAAAACGAGTCCCATGGATACCTCAACACGCCGGAAGGGATGAATTGGTCCGTACCTCAAGCCGAGCTGGCGGTGGCCGGTAGCGCCGCCGTACCAGTTGGTCAGGGGACGAAAGAGGCTGCGGAGACCGGGACGCCTCTGGATGCCTTCGGCGATGCGCTGGGCGAGCTGCTCTGCTGCTACTACCGTCGTCATTGTGATCGATCGGGACGGTATGTGTGGTGACCGGGGAAGGGGGACGTGGTGGTTTTTTCGACCTGGTGGAATTGTCAGGATTCCGCGGGAATTCGTTTTCGTCTGCAAAGACCAAACGTCGAATCAGACGACGCCCAATTCCGAGCAAATGTTCCGGAGCTACTCGGGAGAACTGGGGTACATCACGTGATGTTCATTCCGAAGTGTGAAGTCGACGAGTTGGTCTGTGCTTTTACAGACCGAGAGCAATTGTCCGTGAATGCAAGTTTATTGGGTGCAATTGATAACGGCCATCTCTCCCTCACATCACCGTCGCACCTTGGTACGTATGTCCCATATACAGTCAACATTAATTATCCAACACGCCTCCGTTTGTTACAAGTTGCATTCTCCTAGATCAGACGACAGAGTACAGTGGCGTCAGCCTTATGTCCTCCGGAGACGACATCCCACAGCAGACTCTTATGATGTTATATTCCATCCAGGGGAGACAACAGCGACGGCGTCACCTCGTTGCTCTCCTGCGTCTTCAAGCCACATTGCTTCGCTGTACACGTTCAGGATACAGTCGCATCACGAAGGGCTGTGGTAATGCTTAACACGCCGGGCGACCGTATGGTGTTCTATAGTCGACAAACAACTCTACACTAAGAAGACTAGTAGGAGAGGACAGACGTTGCTGGCCAGTAACGAGCAGTGCCTTTTCTGATAGATAGACAGGTGGGTATACAAAGCCTCGATGTCGTGTGCCACAGTTTGAGGTTCTCGTATCCGTAGTAAACAGTTGTCACAATGCAAGCTCTATGTAAGTACCAGAAATACTAGATACGAAAGGGTACGGTGCAAGGGTCAGAAAAGAGGAAACACGAAAAAGAGAAAGGACAGGCAGGCTGTCATGACCCTTCCTAGAGGATAATGTCCTCTCTTACGAGTCTCTTCCTCTGAAACAGTTCGGAGGATGAGATGAGGTTTGTTGATATCATGATGAAAGTTCTTGGCAAGTGACGCACGTATACACGTATAATGCAGATGGAAAAGATATGCGTGCGTAGATGCGAAGTCGGTTCGTTCCATGCGTCTTCAAGCGAAATCCCATTGTTCGGCGAAGACTGGTCCCCTTCAAAGTACTCCGAGCGAAGCCGAGGAAGCCCCAGAGCATTAAGGTAGGCTCAAAGGAGACCTCGTGTGTGGAGTACGCTAATAATCATGAACCAGTTGTGATCACGACGTTCTGTCACAGTATCTGGTACTTACCGAGGAGCCTGAGGTAGGTAAGGTAGTTTGCTGTTCAGAGTTCAAGTTTGAAGCGAGGTACGTGCTGTTTTACTTGTGCAACCCACTAGGAGCGCCCACGTAGGTAGTACTTTTAGTGATGGGATGGTAGCACGAGGACTTGTCTATGGTAGCGTTCCCCCATGCTGGCTTAGTAAAAGTACCCTACGCTATCGTGCACACGCTCCCGAGAATTATCCTTCGTCTAACTCCGACCAGGTACTGGGTACGCTAACTTTCATCCGGTTTTCCACCCTTCACCCCTCACATCTCGTCCCTCCCGCCATCCGCACCACCTTGGAATCACCTTCTTCAAGCCACCACAATCAGTCCGTGTAGCACGCCCAAAGGATCTCTACAACGCCAATGTCCCGCGATCACCGATAGTCAGGCAGTGTCGCGGCGGCGTGGGAGCAACTCCCCGCATACCGGGACACAAGGGGACCTTCACCTCACCTTCCTTCTTTCCACCCCCAACAGCAGCCGGTCGTCGCCGCGACGACAACACCGAGCAGCAAAACCATAAAGTGGTAATCGTTCAAAAAACAGAAGGGGCCAAACCATCGTCTCTGCTACTCTTCGTCTCACTGTCACCGCATCTCTTCGTCTTCGTCCTAGTCTGCAACAGCTCTTGTCGAATATCCGTCTGGGGCCCCAAGCAACCGGACACCCTTCGGCCGCCCTCCTCCTATCCATCCTCCTCCAAAGTCGGAAGGGCGGCATTACCAGCTTACAATGGCGTCCCGAAATCACCCCCCAAACTCTTCGTCAGGGGTCTCGTCCCCTGCGAACGCCCCGTCCGAAGCCGAAGAATATGCTCCCTATCCCACCGCCTCATATCCTCACTACAGCAGTCCTCGATCTTTCTCGCCCCCTACTCCTCCACGCCTTCCCACATCCTCCACACGAACACCAGTTGTAGCGTCATCCGATGCCGATGCAACAGCCGCAGCCAGGGCAGCTGATCAGTCCGGCCTCAACCCATTCGAGCGCTGGATCGTCTCCGCCAACAAACCCCAGTTCAACGCAATCTCCGGCGCCATTGGTGGCTTCACGTCCGGCATAATCACCTGTCCCCTCGATGTCATAAAGACCCGGTTACAGGCTGGCGGTGCTTACGCTCCGGTGTCCAAGGGCAGGCATGTTGGTCACGAGAAAGTCTACCGTGGCCTTGCGGGTACCTTTCAGACCATATGGCGCACCGAGGGCGTCCGCGGTCTGTATCGTGGTCTAGGACCCATTGTGATGGGTTATTTGCCGACCTGGGGCGTCTGGTTTACAGTCTACGACTTGTGCAAGATTCACTTCCGAGAATATCACAGTAAGTTGGTTTCTTTATGCATATATCTTTTTGCTTTTCTTGGGCCTTCATCTTTTCTCTTCCAAACGGATAGACTTTTCATTCTCCCCTCTCAGTTATTACGGGAAACGGTGGCTGGGCTAACGCAGTCATCTTAGGCAACGAGTTTGTCGTGAACTTGAGCTCCTCGCTCATCGCCGGCGGTACCAGTACTATTGCAACGAATCCGATTTGGGTCATCAAGACACGCTTGATGTCCCAGTCCGTTGCCCACAAGCCAGGTCAACATTATTCGCAGTTTCCCAAGTCTTCCACCACGCCGACCTCGCGTCCTATCGTACACACTGCCTCGCATTACCATTCCACCCTCGACGCTGCACACAAGATGTACACCACGGAGGGAGTCCTCGCCTTTTACTCCGGTCTGACCCCGGCCCTATTGGGCCTTTCCCACGTTGCCGTTCAATTCCCGGCGTACGAATACCTCAAGAAGAAGTTTACCGGTCAGGGCATGGGCGGCCTCAGTGACGAGAACAACACGTGGTCTAACTGGTTCGGCACCCTCTCTGCTACGATACTATCCAAGATTTTGGCTAGCAGCGCCACCTACCCGCACGAGGTGATCCGCACCCGTCTACAGACCCAGCGCCGACCCGTGGCTGGAGCGGAGTACCTCCAAGGCCTTGGCATCAAACCGCCCCAGCCGGGAACAAATGGAGGAGCACAGGGGGTTCCCGCGAACCAGCCGCCGGCTACCCCTAAGTACCGTGGCGTTGTCCGAACCTTCCGTACCATCCTCGCCGAAGAAGGCTGGCGCGCCTTTTATGCCGGCATGGGTACTAACATGATGCGTGCCGTCCCTTCAGCGACGGTCACCATGCTTACCTACGAGCTCATGATGTCTCAGCTTTATCATGGAAAACGTACAGCATTGAAGAAGCTCAACATCGAGGAGGACTTGAGAGCTGGGTTTTGACACCCGGGTACCGACTCTATCGATATATCGGCGGTGGACAGTTTCTTGAAAGAAAGGACTCTTACATGCAGGGTTGAAAGGAGTCAGGTAGCGAGGCGTTCTAACTAAGTTATCTTTCTCTTGCCACACTCTCTGTCGATTTCCTTAGTTTTTGCTTTCGACTCCTGGCGTGGGGGTTGCATAAGCGGGGTGGGGAGGCAGAAAAGGGAAGGTGACGCGCATTTGCAGTGAGGAAGATGTCAGGAGGTTTCGACGCAGATACCCCGGCCGACTTGTAGGTTTAGACATTTCGTGCGTTTTACTATTATTATACAGTATTCTAGGAAACGCACACATGGACAGGTCAATGAAGATCCTTGTTTCCAAAGAGCAGTCTCATTCCCCATTTCTCTTTGCATTCATCTCAGCGCGACTGATCGATTCCTGGTCTCTGCCTCGTGTGTAGCTTGAACAAACTACAATGGTGCTACCTCTCGTTGTCCTTGGGCTGGTCCCGACTTGCGGAATACCGTGTGGTTTTCTGTCAAGTTAGTATGGATTTATCTCGTTTCCGGGCTCAAATATTGTGTCTAGGAGGCGAAACTCACAGCCTCATCTCGGGCGGCTCGGATGGAAGAACGGGTGTAGGTGAAGAGGACGCAGGCCATGGTAAAGGCTGCCAGGGGCGCGACCACCGTCTGCGCTCTCGAATTAATTAGATTCGAAATTTCCACCCCGTCGTCTCGTACCAACAGTCATGGCACTTGCCTTTGGGTTTAGATTCCCTCTAGGGGCCATATCTTTTCCTACGCTAATATTTCAATTCGTATACGAGCTGATATCCCCCGTATACGAGTTATCAGCGGTGGTATTCACAATCGCGGTCAACCGTTACTGATTGTTGCGCAGTTGCGCTCTGACCTACAACCCGGGTAGGTACGGTAGGAAAAGAGAAGACGTCACTGTGTGGGTACTACGAGGTACCTGTTTCGACCTCCTGCGTGGAAGGCCCTCGGCGACAGCGGCGCTACCGGCGCCCTCGGCTACCTTACCTACCTACTTTACCTTAGGCACTGACCTCTAGCGCGCCAAAGGGCTAGGGTATAGAAGTACATGCGCAGAGGCATAGCGATGAATGTAGGTATAGGTATTCCAAGAGAACGTCATCACGTCCGGTGGTCCGAAGGCGAAGAGCAGATCGGATCGCGGTGTGATCTGAATGTTGATACCCTTGAGGAAACCAACTTGGATGCCCACTACTGTCGTCGCCTTTACGTGTACTGGCTTGAGCTGAACTGACTCTCCTTGAGGCTTCTCCAGCAAGGTCGGCGAATGCGTCGAAAGTGATATTAAGAATCGTTCTTCACTATCAATTGTTTTAAACTGCTAGATGCTTCTCGTCATGGATCGACAGCAGAGGCGACGGTTGGTTTATCGCCAGATAATAATAAGTCGCGTACGGAGTAATTATAGCGGTCCATGAGACCGCTTGTTCACGTGACTCCGACGCTCTGACTGTGCCGTACCTGTCTCTTAGACTACTCCTTCCAAAATTACATAACCAGCGTACCTAACCAGCGGCGTTCCGTAGGTAGGCGCGTCGTCTGGAACAACCCAGAGCACTTCAACCCGACCACAATTAGCTGTCAGCATTGTCTTCTGCCTCATCGTCTAGCTTCCGGTGAGTACCGCTCACTGAACGGAGCTACAGCGCAGTCAGTTGCATCACTTATTCCAACTCCACCGCGACCCAAACCGAGTCGCATATCAACAGCCTCAAGTTGTCAGCTGCGCAAATCGCACGCCTCACATTGGTCAATATGCCTATGGTCCTGCGCAAACGTAAGGCGCCAGAGCCGGCACTGCCGCTCCCGCCAGCCAAGACAACGGCAGTCAAGAAGACGGTAGTCAAGAAAACGATCCCCAAGGCTAAGGAGTTTGTTGACCCCGTCAAACCCCCATCGCCACTCAAGCAGAGCTCTGCAAATGCAAAGCCTGCGCAAGGCGATAGTATCAACCTAGAAGGGTTCGGCGGCCAAGTCACAACATCGGACGGTTCCAAAGTTACGCTCCAGGGCCTTGTCGACCAAAGCGAGGCGGGTGTTGTGCTCTTCACATATCCCAAGGCCAAGACGGGCGGATGTCAGTAACCCCTGGGTTCTTTGCCCTTCACATACCTGACACATCCCTGTTGATACTTCTTCATGACACCACACCTGGAATCCGTTGTCGAAAGGGTGGCCTCGTTGCGAGAAACCTCTCCGCGTCGCGATGGAGACGGGCAAGTATGCTGACATGTTCCTCTCGAAATAAATCCAGGTACCAACCAAGTCAAGTTTTTCCGTGACGCGCACTCGGAGCTCGTATCCACGGGTCTTTCCATCTTCGGGCTTTCCAATGACTCTCCGAAGGCCAATGCCAGCTTCAAGCAACAGCAGGGCCTCATGTACGAGCTCTTGTGCGACCCCGACAGAACCCTTATCAGCGCCATTGGATTAAAGACGTCGCTTGGCAAGACGCAGCGTGGCATATTCGTCGTCAGCAAGGAGGGGAAAGTCCTGGCGGCCGAGCCCGGAGGTCCTGCGGCTACGGTCGAGGTCGCGAAGGAGGTCGTCAGTCAGATGAAGGATAACAAGGAGACGAAAGTGAAGTAGAAGCGGAGGACACCGGTGAAGAGGAAGCCGAGACGGACAAAGCCAAGGCGTAGAAAGCTCTGGCAATAGAAGTCGAGCGGCCTGCGAGGCAGTACACCATTTCCAAGACCGAACGCAAAGCTCGGGCTTTCCGGGTGCAGGAGTGGCTCGAAAGTGTGGATTATGAACATGCCGAAAGCCCATAAGGGAAGGGAAGCAATGCGTGACGGACCGACGGGTGGAGGAAGGGATTATATTGTTGGTCATCGTCCTTCGTAGTTGGTTGATCATCCTGCTTGGGTTCTCAATGTTCTCGGCGTTTGGTGCTTAGCTAATGGACTGCTTGCCGCCCAATGACAGTTCCTCAATTACCTCTTCATGACCCACATTAAGGTATTCAACTGTTCGTTTCCATACCTGTAGCCGAATACCTGACAGGCCAGACCAAAGGCAACCTCCCCTCCCGCCCGGCACGAACCACGGACTTCATCGTCGCTCTTCCGACCACTAACACCGCCCAACATGGCCTCCAAGGCAGTCTCGAAAGCTGCGGGCGGCGTCATGGAGATCTCCAAGGTAACGTGATATGCATGCTGTCCCTTTCTCCGAGCGAGTTCATGCCCATGTACCGCCACTTCCCGACGACGACTCTTCGCCTCTCCGCAAACCACGGCATTGTCTGGCAATCATGGCAAGCCAGTTAACATCCCGAACAGAAGCATACCCTTCAATCGACCGGTATCTACGAGCGTATCCGCCGCGCCCTCGCCATTGACCCGAACCGCTCCTCCGGCGTGCCCCTCAACGCGACCTTCCGCAACCCGACGCCGGGCGCCCTCGATCCCCTCACCTACGACGACCCCGTCACCATTCCCGCGGGCGACATCGCCGACAATGCCTACTTCCGCCGCGACACCCGCCGTGCCTACCCCAAGCTCAGCGTGGTCTCGCAGTCCGACGTGGTGAGCCTGCTCACCGTCGGGTCCGCCGCGAACCCGAAAGTCGAGCTCATCGGCGAGGCGGGCGAGCAGGCCCTCGTCGAGGCCCGGGCTGAGGGCGAGAAGAAAGGCGGCCTCGCTGCGTTTCTGGAGAACAAGGGCAAGGCTATTGAGGAGGTCAGTAAGGACGTTTTCGTCAATGGCTTGCCGCCCACCCCGGCGGGCGAGAGGATCCAGGCCGACGGATCGTGGCATGTTTACAAGTTCAAGCCCAACGAGGATCAGGCCTATGGCGATGGGTGCGTCTTTTTCCCTTTGTCCAGGCTTTTCTGACTGCCGTATTCGAGGTTTGGGCACTGAATGGCTAACCTCATTTTCCAGCTATCCTTGCCGGACGTTCTCATGAACAGGGGTGGCGGGGTGGTGATGTTAAAAGACACAGGGAGCCTAGAGAGCGGCCGTGTATGAGAAGCAAGTCTTAGAAATCTTAGACTACCTAAGTTGCAGTCCTAAGCTACCATCTAAATTTTTATTTTATTTTTTTGTCTTACAGCTTCAATCCCCTCGTTGCACTTTACACGAACTACCTGTGTGAGGTGAGATATTTCAACTTGCCCGCCCATATCGTGCAGCCCTGCCTATCTTTCACCAATCCACATACCCGTGAAATTGCAGTCCAGTCCTTCGAACCATTGCGCCATGCTATTTGATGAGAAGCTCTCATTCCCACAACATATTGGACATTCTCTTCAGATCCTCGTGTTGGCCTCAGTCGTGCCAGGACCGGTCGTGGCGGCTTCCAGTGGCTGCTCCCCAACCACCCGCTCGATAACCTTCACTCGTCCCTGGGCCTTCTTGATGCGGTCGTCGAAATCGTTCACCGCTTCGTCGCTGTTTTCCGTGGAAAGTGTATCTGGCTCCACGAGCGCATGCAGGGCCACGATGTTCTTCTGCAGCCGGGCATTGTTGGTTGGTAGCGGCGGCAGGGAGCATTTCCGGGAACTCTCCTCTGCCACCCGGCTCTGCTGACTAGATAGACCGTCCGTGGTTGTGGCAGATGTTGATAACCGTGAAGGAGACGATGACGACAGGTGAATCCTGTTGGCCCAGACGAGAGACTTGCCATAGACTCGACCGCCCTCAAGAAATTTATCGAAGCCCTTGGAAATGCCGACAGAGCGGCCCTCTATCCTGCCTGCTAGGATGCCGTCTCGCGATCCTTGTTCATACCCTTCATTATAAAACCGGTCCTCCAGATTGAAGATGTCTTCGAAGGGGTCGGAAACGGACGAGGGCATCTTGTCCGTATATCTCACAGAAGTGATTTTCTACTTTTTTCTTTTTTGTTTCTTTTTCGATAAGCCGGTAGGTTTCAATATAGAACCAATGCTTGTTGCGTTGGGGTATGTGTGAGGTTGCGGTATTGCGGTTCTAAAAAGCAGGTGGGGGGCAAGTTGGAGCAATAATTTCACGCGCTTTTACCTACTCAGATTCGAGAGTCGCCACGATTAATAACCAGGGACCTTTTCTCTGTTCATAATGGGATCTTGGTCGTATTATAGAGAACGTTAAATTTGGGCAACCCAGATCACAAATCACTTTCTCCTAGCAATAAGTCTGTATTCTTTACGATAGTTTCCGATGGGTTCTATCCGTACTCTGTATATCCTCTTCAGGATTTCCGAGTTCCCGCTGTACGGCTCCGAGCTCGGCTTTGGAATTATATGGTACAAGCGTCAATTTTAAGGCGCCGGGTGACATCGACCCCTCACAACCTGTCCACATTCACCTAATGTATAGGTAATTATTGGATAGCTCCTATTCGGGAGTCTGACGTCGGCTACGAGTACTTTACCTACCTGTTGCTACTTGTGTTCATAAGTTATAAGACCCAGTGCTTTGGGATATACCCATTTGGTCCACACACCTCATGGCCTCCCGTCTCTTCCCTCGACCATCATCACTGCTCAATTCCGTTCGCCTCAGGTCCCCTGGCCCATTTATAGCTCATCATACCACCTTCAGGATGTCATCCTCCTCCGTCCCTTTAAAGTACGAATGGCTCGTCGTCGTCCCCGACAAGCCCGGCGTCAAAGCCAAGCGCCTCGAAGTACGCCCGTATGTTCCTCCAACGTTTCCCCCCTTTCCCTCCCTTGGTCGTGCTTCGCATTGTTTTGGCCTCTTCTGACAATAGGCCCCAATCCGCCCTCGGTGACATGCAGCACGCATTTCGCCGACCTTAAGCCCAAGTTTGATGCTGGCATCTACAAGATGGGCGGCGCCCTCCTTGATGAAGTCCCTGAGGACGAGAGTGACCCGTCCAGCTTCAAGTTCAGCGGAAGTACACTCGTATGCATAGCTGAGACGAGAGAAGAGGTCCTTGAACACCTGAAAAATGACATCTACACGAAGACCGGTGTCTGGGACCTTGATAATGTTGTTTGGCCCTCGCTGCACCCACTCTGTCCTGACCCACTGTACATTGCTGACGAGACTCGAACCGTAGGTCCAAATCTGGCCTGTAAGTTTTGATACTTGCCTCACTGAATCAACCGACAGGCCTGGTTTTCCCTTTATGTTGAGGATGGGCAACTAACATTGACTAGTTCAAGTGCGCCTTCAGGGCTCCGTGATCGAAAACGATCACAGTGACCGCGTTCTGGTAAAAGCAGGGGGGCTGGGTTCCTGAGGGCTTTACCGCTGCCATGCTATAGTTCATCTGTCTCTTAGAAGAGGTAATTCAAGAGTCCCCCGCTCTTGCATGTCCGGACACGAGCTTTTTCCACATTTGCTGCTAGAGTCCCTTCAACCCCCGGACCCAGCAGAACTCCCGGGGTCCATCCCCTTCCTCACGGCCGGGTTTGAAAGACCGTTTTGGCCGAGTTGGTCTTGTCACCGAAGAATCCTGAGCACAGAGAATGTATAAAAAAAATAAAAATAAAATAAAAAAGAAGAAATGTCGCCCAGACAAATCACCATGGTTCCATTTCGGCCTGCGAATGCGAATGCACCAGTGAGGGTCTCTTCCGACGACCATTATAAAAAAAAAAACGTACCCCCAAGATTTGATTAGCGGGCAATTCGACGAAACCCTTGTCTAAACCCTCGCTCTTCATCCTCACCGCCATGACTTAGTGTCACAGAGGGCTAAGCTGTTAATGAATTCCCTCGAGAACAAAGACTTTCACTAGACAGTAGCCCGTGTCTGAGTTTCTCGCCTGGGCTCAAGTGTGGTGTCGGCGAGAGATGCGGCTAGCTCTTCAGCCTCCGCCTCGGAGGTGCCAGGTCCCTCGACTGCCTCAGAATCCTCATCTTCGTCGGTATCGTCGTCTTGTGCCGGTCTTGTCTCTAGATCGACTCTCAGCTCGTAACATAATTCGTAGCACTCGGCAAGAAGCTCATTAACGCTTCCTTGCCCTTCCGGAATGTCACCGTTGAACATAAACTTTCCATCGACACGCATGTTATCGATCGAGTTGACCTGCAACCTCGTCAGCAGTCTGTCGCTCCTTGTCAAATGGGTGATGAAAAAGTACCGACCTTTAGGCTGTATGGGTACAGTTCCCTGATAGAGGACACCCCGCCAGAGTTTTTAACTTCAATGAGACACTTCTTCAGCGTCTGCAGTTGGTTGAATACTGGCTGTAGGGCTTCCGAGACGGGGTTCGATGAAATCATAAGGAAGTAGATGTAGCCGTAGCTTCTCCTGACCAAGTAGAGCAGTGTCTATGGAAATGTCAGTAGGTGCAGTTCCTATATCGGTGAATCATGAGGACATACCCGTTGCACGTAAAGCTCAGCCTTGTTGCCATCTTCGTCCAGCCAGTTTCCGTCGACTCTGCTCTCATCGATTCTATCCAGCTGCCGCTGGTAGTCATATAAGTCTGCTTCACGCAAGGCCCATTTGCTAGTGATGGAGAGTTTCTCCAAGTCGTTTCGCATGCGCACTAGCACATCATACGTGGACTTGAACGATTCCGGAATGACGCCTCGCCTATTTTCAATGCAGTAAGTATCAGCGACATCAAAAGTGAGATGGGTCGTCGCTGTGTACCTTTCTAAAACAATATCGGCCCACAAGAGACACTTTCTCAAGAGAGCATCAATTTCTTCACTTCCTGCAGGGTATTCGCCCTCGGGTGTCTTGTAGGCCCCGGACCTGAAGTTTGCGCTGATCTCTTTCAATTGGTCGCGGAGGTTCTTGACATCGGACGAAGAGAACTGAAGTTCATTAGCAAAGGTGTCTATGTCCTCATTCGATTGACCCGGGTGGGACCGTACCTTAGACCGTGTGTTCGCCGCGGATATCGACCGCAGAATGGATATAAGCTTCTCGTGGACCTGAGGCAGCGGCTCTTGCAGCCGATCGAGACGTTTACACAAGCTGGCCAGAGCCCGTTTGCAAGTCTCGAGACGATTGGTGAGGAGAGTGATCAAATAAGGCGAAGTGTCTGCGGGTGCCCTCTCGACGTTGCGGACGAGCAGATTGAGGGTTTCCGTGATGCTCTCAAGATCCTTGGCGCTGAACAAGTCCACCTCAGCAAGGTGATCCAGAAGCCGCTTGATCGTCGAGGTAAGGGCGTAGGCTGCGGGCGCAGTATTATTCTGTCCGATGGTCATGAATGAGAGGGACAGCAACTGGAAGCAGCTATCCAGGACCCTGTCCACTACAAGAATGCGGTCAGCTAGCGACCTGGGCGCACATTGTTATTAATTCCCTACCGATGTTCTCGTCGAGTTCTCCTTGGCTGGCAGACCGAGCTTGATTTAATCGACGGACTTGATCAATCGTTTCTCGGTAAAGTGGAAGGACATGTTGTTTCTGCATATATGTCTTACGATCCTTTTTGAGAAGGAGCAGCTTGTCGCGGACAATGACGAGCTTCTCGAGCACATCCTTTTCGGCCTCGTCCCGAGGCGGAGGCAGAGACGGAGTATCCATGTTGATCCGGTAGACGTTAGACCGCTAGGAACAAATCCAACCCCGTACGGCTTCTGCGTAAGAAGAGGAGGAAGAGGAGGAAGAGGAAGAGGAAGATGAGGAAACTCGGGGATGATTTGACGAGGAGAGGGCCCTGAAAGAAATGACCTCGCAGAGCGGATGGAGTAAGCAGCGTTGCTTGAAGCGGAGGAGTGGCGTGGTTTGCAGCTTAATTAATAAGGTGAGCTAGATACTGTACGTGTAGCTCATGGGCCTGGCTGTCGAGAGCCGATCACTGCGGAGAAGCGTACCAGGTACGTACGGTACGTACATACAACGCGAGTCCTCCAAGCCGCTTTCAGTGCCACCAGGGAAGCGTAAAGACTCGACTTGACGGATTGATGGACTACCGTAGCAGTCGATGCGAGAGTATCAAAGGTTGTAACTTCTGGTTATTATGGCTGTGAGAAAGTAGACGAGTTGAGCTTCTGGAATGTCCTCGAGGAGTCGACTTTTATTATACACGTAAAGCTCTTATACACGTACATCCAGATTCAAGATGCAGATGCAGGCTGGACGTCAGTGGAGCATAGGGATGGCGCGTGGGGGGAGGGGAACTTGGCGGCTGTGGAACTCAAATTGGAAGGGAGGGGGAGGGGTGTGCCGGTGACCCCCCAACTTTAAAGAATTGTGTCCTCTCATTGGCTGCATGTCGTATCCAATCAAAGCACATCGATAACTCGGAACGGGAATTAATTCTGCCGAGGAATTTGATATTGTACGAATAGAAAGGGCACGGGAAAATTAGGTCTGAAGCCCTGCCAATTTTGCTGGACCCAGTCTACTTTCGTTTGGTGTCGCGATTGTCACTCTCCCACCTCTCTCGAGATTCTAACTTGCATCCCGCGCCAGCACGACAACTGATCACGTCTCAACCCGCACGATCAATCATCACACAATGTCGACTGCCGAACTTGCCTCGTCCTATGCGGCGCTCATCCTCGCCGACGACGGCGTTGAGATCACTGTGAGTTCCTGCCTTGGCCTCTCATCTTGGCTTACCAGTTTTCAACCTCAGTCACTCGGGGAATGGCGCAACCACCCCCACCACACACGAATTCACCCACTTCTCTCCTGGAAACGTATCTAACGATGGAAAACCCGCGATTATAGGCCGACAAGCTCCAGACCCTGATCAAGGCCGCGAAGGTCGAGGATGTTGAGCCTATCTGGACCTCTCTGTTCGCCAAGGTACGGCCGATCGAACTACGACGACAAGCCTGAAACGACTGACAGCTGATGATTTTTTCTTTGGGAAATAACAGGCCCTCGAGGGCAAGGATGTGAAGGAGCTCCTGTCCAACGTCGGCTCCGGTGGTGGTGCCGCCGCTGCCCCTGCTGCCGGCGGTGCCGCTGCTGGCGGTGCCGAGGAGGCTCCCAAGGAGGAGGCCAAGGAGGAGGGTAGGTTTTGCATGAACACCCATGGTCTACAGAGTAAGAGCGTGGAGACTAACTCATGGCTACAGAGAAGGAGGAGTCGGACGAGGACATGGGCTTCGGTCTCTTCGATTAAACGACCTCTTTCCGCAACGACCATTTCTTCCTTCCGTTTGTACTTCGACTGCATGGCTTCTGGGGTTCTACGAATCGCACGATCATAAAAGGGTGGGCTGGAGGCACCAGATCTGGATGGCTGGGCAGAGTAGCTTCTCATGCGATACTATGATGAAGAATACTCACTACATGGAGTTTTCGGGTACAACCTCAAAAAAAAGAAATTCTGCAATGAGTTGGACGGCCACGCACCATCCGTCACGTCGGCAGCGTTTTTCGTGAGCCTTTGTACACGTGCATTGGGGTCTAGATCCGAGCTATATGCGGTGCCTACGGACCTTTTTTCGGTCACTTCATCTCGCAGGTCTCCCACCTATGGACGCGAGTCGTCGCCTCAAGGTTCTCTGTGATCTATCTCGCCCCTCGACGCTGTAGCAATCCGATATCCCGAAGGCCCATAGTTACTTGGCGATCAAGACGGAGCTCGGCACGAGCCCTGCCTCTTTCAGTGTCTTGCTGAAGTCAGTGTGCCCTTCGAATGTCTTCCTGGGAAATGTCGTCGAGAAGCTGGTAATCTGGAGTCCGTTCTCCACCTGTAGCATCTGCGCAACCTCGAAGAGCGTGGTTTCGGCCGGAAGAGTCTTCATGACGTTTCCGTTGGCGGTCTGCAGGCGAAGTCGAGCCTCGGAATGGTTTGCTGTGACCTTGGGGAGGGAAGGCGGTGCCGCAGGGGTGGCAGCTACGGGCGCCCTGCCCTCGCGTGCTGCCTTTGCCTCCTCTGCCTTGCGACGCCTCTCCTCCTTATCTGCCTCGATCTGGGCTTTGATGCGCCTCTTCGCCTCCATGTCTTCGAGTTTCTCCTGTCGCTTCTTGGCGGCTTCTTTGATCTGCTCCTTTCGCTGAATCTCTTCCTTGAGATCCTGGGTCTCCTTGGTGGCTTTTTGGCGGATCTTCTCATTGCGCTTGTGCTCTTCTTTCTCTAGGAGGGCTTGGGTTTCTTTCTTGGCCTTGAGCTTCTCCCGTAGCTCCTCAAGCTTTTGTTTTCTCGCTTCTTCCGTGAGGGGAGCTATTTCTTCCGTCGACTCGGAAAAGTCGGTGTGGTCCCTGCGACCAGACAAGTTAGCTCGCCGAATACGAGGCATATAAAAGAAGGAGACAACGGCGTACGTCTTGGTGGCATGGTATGATGCAAGGTCCTGGCTTCGGAAGCGTTTACCGCAGTCGTTGCAAACCAGCGATTTGGCCGCTCCGCTTTCAAGGGCCGCGATGTTGGCCCTGACCTCGTCGGCGTCGTCATCGTCACTTCCGTTGTCGCCAGAGGCGCCTGCGCCTGCAGCAGCAAGCTCTTCAAGAGGTTTATCTTGGTTGGTTTCTAACCACTCCAGAGCACCTTGGACTATGGTCTCGTTAGCCTCAATGGGAAGAAACCCGGCAGGGAAGGGGTTGGTCAAGCATAGGTTGATCAAGCTTACGTCCACCACTCTTTTTGACAGCCAGCTCAGCTCGAGCACGCTCGAAGCCCATGTCGAGCAAGAGATCAAGATCGGACTGTGTCATGTTGACAGGCGTGACTTGTGGAGATCCACAGTATGGCAGGTTCTCGAGGAAGGGTTTGGAATAAGGAAAAGCAAGCAATGGTATAATGAACACTCAGTGACGGCCTGTTGTTCAGTAATGAGAGAAAGCTTGTAAGGTATCTAGGTGAAGATACCCGATAAGGAATTGCTGTGTAGCTGTGGTCTTCTAAGCACTCCAGGTGTCGTGTCATGTCTTAGCGGAACATTGCCCCTCCATCGAGTTGCAGGAGTGGACTGGGGACGTCATGTTGTTTCTCCGGGCCCGTTATTCTTAGTACCTACCTGTTATGGTGCATGGCGGATGTCGGACGTTACGTTGTATGAATATTCGATTTGATTATATAATCGATTTTGCACACGAAGCTCGGACCACCTTCTAAGCCTTGGATTACGTCGTGACCCTGACACGGGAACGGGACAGACCACCCTCTATTGAGATGGGAAAGGACACTGCAGAAGGTCATCATATTACCAAGTAACCTTCTACCGTGCCTTCCGTACCTTACTTGCATCACGCCCAAAGTTCTATTCTCATTACGCTCCCTCAACTGGATTCTTACTCCGTGCGCGCCTGCTGCTTTGCTGGTTATTGTTTTTCTTCCCTTTCCTTTATCTTCACAACTCTATCCGCGGCCTGACTTCTTGGAGTCTTGGTCCTGTTGCCACTCATTTGAACCACTGGGCATCTTTTCATCTTTGATCTGCCTACTCCCGAAACCTCCTTGCCACGAATCTTCGGGCTCCCTTGACCGTATCGACCCACCTCAAAACTGATACAAGATGTCAGTCGAAATCGAGCCGTCCGAGCTGAGCTTCCAGCGTATGCCTCCCTATCTGCACGCGAGAGTACAACAGCACCTCTGGCCGTTCATTTGCTGAAAAGGGTGCTGCAGAACCATTCACCAGGGAGCTATCCCAATACCTGAAGATCACCAACCTAAACAAGTTTCCTATTGCGTTCAAGGTATGCCGTGCTGCCATTTCTTTATCGCCAGGCTTAGGAGCTAATATGTGCAATAGGTCAAAACGACGGCCCCGAAACAGTACACTTCCCCGCCTTGCCCACACCCGCTCCGATTTCCATATAGCTCACCCTGTTTCGTCTGACCCTAGATACTGCGTGCGCCCTAACTCTGGTCGAGTCGAACCTGGACAGGATGTAGAAGTCAACGGTATGAGCTGGACGGAATATACTCGGCTTGGAGTGCCAGCTAACGTGTTCACAATAGTGCTCCTCCAGGCCATGAAGCAAGAACCTGGTCCTGGCACCAAATGTCGCGACAAGTTTCTCGTCCAGTCTGCCCCCATTACAGCGGACAAAGAGTTTGCAAGCATCGTCCATGTTGTAAGATCAAACCTGACTTCATGATATTGTGTAGACAGGTATGGACGCTGACGTCTCCTTTCACAGCTTGAATCTGCGGATAAGGCATCGATTCTGGAGAAAAAGATAAGGGTTAACTGGATTCCTGCCGACCAATCCTCTCTCGCCGCTACTACTCCTAGTCGCACTTCAGCGGGCGACAACTCAACGGTTAGTTTAGCCAACATCGAAATGATACCCTTGACAAATGCTCAACAGCTTTTAGTCCGGTACGCCCGACGTAACCCGCACCTTTTCCTCCCCCAACGAGGAGAGCCGAGCGCGTCTTAGTCCCCCTCCCCCGTACGACGCCGACTCGGCTGCCTCCAAAGAGGAGGATGTCCGCTCCGAACACGACCAGTCGGTCGTTTCTGCTGCTGCGAGCGCAGTTACCCACAATGCACAGTTGACATATGAGGAAATCAAGGAGAAGCTCGCGCAAGCCGAGGCGAAGATCCGGCAACTTCAACAAGACAGTGGTCTACGCCAGCGCGTTAAGAACGCAAGCGAAAAGGTGCAGGCATCTTCCGCCAAGCAGGCCGCCGCAGTGCAGCAGACTGTTGAAGGCGTGCCGGTTCAGCTGGTAGCTCTTCTGTGCCTCATCAGCTTCTTGCTCGCGTACTTCGTCTTCTGAAAACACATGTTCGCGTGGATTTTTTGGTATCCCGTTAATCACGCCTTCAAGCCGGGCACTCATTCCCTTGAGGACAAGAACGAATTGCATAGCAGAAACATGAGCCCATTGTTACTCGGTGGTTGTAATCAGGCCTGGCGAGGGTAAGCGCCCTAGGATGCCCCATCTGTTCAGGGCTATATGAGTCGGGGAAAAGAGAAGCATTGCTGTTTCGTTGGAGGCACATGAGGCGTCGTTGGGAGGAGGAAGTCGCGGTAATTCCGCCCCGGCGAAGGCTATGTTATTATGAGAGGCAGGGCCGTTGTACTGGATGAACCGTTTTACTGTACATCTATTCCCTTGCGTCTTGATTTCCACCTGGCTAGGCTAGCTCATATCGGTTTTCATTACATGTCTCTTCCCGCGCGTCTTTTTTCTTTGTCTCAATGTCATCACCATGCCACCAGGGCTACTTTGGTCGCTGACATGGCCAATTCCCGCCCACTACGAAGTTACTTCCAAAACCCCTAGTTGTATACATAATCGGAAAACGGGCAACAATATAGCCATGCTTAGCAATGACAATCGGGAGCTGCTATACCGTTGGGCCGTACCATCCACTCGCATGTGCCTTGCATCGTGTCTGTACTGTACAGTTCACGCCTCGATTTCTTCTTGTTTCCATGCCGCTTCAACGGCGCCGCCAACCTTGCGACCGCCCTGCTTGCGTTTCACGCGGCAGTTCATGCCGACATTTTGGTCGAAGATGAACTGCCAGATGGCGTAGGTCCAACTGCGGTGGTAGGGGAGGTCCTCGTAGAACTCACTCGCGATGCGACGGAGGGCGGGGAGACGGGTCCAGGGAATGGCGGGGAAGTCATGGTGCTCGTTGTGCAGGCCAACGTTGTACGTGAAGAAATTCAGGGGTCCGTAGTAGGAGAAGGTTTCGGGGACGGGGATGCGGTTGGCGGGGTCCCGCTGGGCCGGGGTGACGGTCTCGTAGACGTAGTGTTCGGCGATGAAGTGGCCGGCGAGCGGATGTAGGGAGCCAGCGAGGAATGAAGAGAGGAGGAGGTAGAGTAGGGCTCGGGGGCCGGCGAAGTGGACGAGGGCTGCGTCGAAGGCGAGCTGGACGGCAATGTTGACAAAGTGAACCCAGGTCAGAGGAATGCGGAAGATGGTCATGGGACGGATGGCATAGAAGAAGATCTGGCAGGTGCAGAAAAAGGCCTTGCCGAGGATGGAGTTGAGGAAGACAGCCTCGAGGGCGGTAGGGAGATCAGTGTCGAGGCCATCGACGCCGAGGGATTTGTGGTGGGTTAGATGGTAAGGGCGGAAAGAGGCGGAGTAGGGCACTCCAATAGGTATGTTGGCAACAATGGCGAAGAGGCGATTGGCAAGTGGAGAGCGGAAGGCGAGGTTGTGGGAGATCTCGTGGATGGCCAGGAAGAGGTTCTGGTTCGACGTGGCACCGAAGACGTAGGCCACAAGCCAGAACTTCCAGCTGAAGAAAGACGTGTTCCTGAGGGCATATGCTAGGCCGACCTGGAGAGCCACAACGCCCAAAACGACATACTTGGTCAGGGGTTCCGGACCGCAAAGCTTGGTCACCTATGAGGTAGGTTCGAAGCGTTAGATGAAACCAAGCCAAAAAGAGCATAGGTAGGATGGACGGAATAGGTAGGGTGCCTACTTCAGGGTGAGCCTTGATGATGGCGAGGCGGCGCGAGCGGTGCGGTTCCTCGGTGTAGGTCCAGAAGAAGTCTCGATGCTTGATCTCGAGAGGGTCGCGCTCCGAGTCTGGGGGCAGGGGGATATCGTCGGTGCTAGGCTTGCCTTTGGCGACTGCATTGCGCCTCGACGGCTGGGTAATTGTGGATGATGTCGACATATTGAGAAGTCCGTATTGAACAGAGCGCAGAGATGATGGACTTGATCAACAGACAGTGCTCTCAATGGAGTTTCTCTATCGAGAGGGTGGGAGAGGAGTGGGAACGGGGGCTGCAATCCTAGGTCCCCAACATTGATATAGTCGAGTCGTGTGCGACCAGAGCCGTCTGTAGTGCGTAGGTAGGTAGGTAGTCGTCCAAAATTCTGATCGGGATAAGAGGGGATGTGGAGAGCTCGGAAATCAGGAGTAGACAGTCGCAAATCGACTGATACGGATTAAGCAAGGGGTTTTTCCCGAGCAAGCGGTGAATCCATTTTTTGACTGGGGCAGGTTGGGGGCGATGGACAGCCTGCACGTGTGCCACCGCAGTCACGTAGGTACACGATTGTGGCTGTCCGGGTATTAGTGGAGCTTTCAGGGGGTTCTCCTTACTGTCGACCAATAAGATTATAGCGTGAGTTCACCTTGTAGCACAGTTTAATTGCCAGCCCCGAGGGGTAAAGCAATGAAATATCGCGGGTTCTCTGCCTGGTAATAAGTATTGGACTCACATGGAGACGGAAATGGCATCTCTGCTCTGAAGAAACAGTAGGATGGCCTGTGTAAGTAATAGTTATCGTGCCGCAAAACTTTCACGTCTCACGGACGAGAACGCCGTTTGTTTCGTCGCCCAAGGCAACCAATAATAGCATGGAACTGGCAGATCAGCTGGTCTTTTCTTGGATTTTCGTGCTCCCACTACCTGTTTCGAGGTAAGGGCCAAGATGATGCTTACCAGTCGCTTGGGACAATTGGACTGACCGTGACTCTATGGGAACACAATATTCATCTGCCAACCCTCTTGTGTGACAGGGCCATGAGCAAGGCTGGACAGCCTGGGGCTTCATACATGATCAGTGTAATGCATGACATGGCCCTGCCTCGAAAGCATTCTCGTTTATTATATCCCTTCGATTCTCCCTCCCCGAAAGAAGCCACAACGCTCGAAAGAGCGAATATGGTTTCTTGGCCTACTTCTTCGAGGTCCAGGAACATCCAGGCACAGGCCGGAGGGAATATGCGCTGATATGTCGGTACGGTACAGACCAACAGCCACAGTTGCACGAATTTCAGCATATTTCTCGATGCCGACGCTGTCAATCTATTTTTTACCATCATCTGATCCACCGTGCGTCGCTGCCTGATCCTCCTGGGGACACGGCCAGCGGCATATCGCACCAGTCGAGAAGAGTCGAAGCGGCCGACTTGCCTATTTCTGCTTCGCTCACGGCACCCGAAATCCAGGTCGATCACCATTTTCGTGTAGCTAAACGTCTTCCCGAAACGTTGCAACTGGAACTCCCCGAGTCTACCAAGCCTTCCCTGCAGCATTTTCTCGACAAGCTCTTAGGTCCCATGCCATATTTTCAGAAGTGAAGTCGGATGCTGGCTGTCTTTGACGGGCAGTAACATTTGTGTGGTTTGGCTACCACGAGACGATACCTCATGAGTCTAATGGTAGTTCTAATGATGGCGGTCAATACTTTTGGTGGAGATATTATATGAGAAATCCATAAAGAATCGTTGGTGTAGGAACTGAGGCGAGCTATTTATACTTCATAATAAACGAAATTGATTATTCCCCGGTTCCTCTTGAAATCTGATATACGGATATTATAACACATTTCCCCTGGGAGACTTAATGCCCGAGGGGGGGGGGCCATGTTCCACGCGCTGCAGCACTGGTCCCATCATCAGCAACGATGTTCCGTTGAATTGAATATCAATAATTTCCTAGCCTGGTGACAGAAAGGTATCTCGGTGGCCCAGGGTATGGTTTCACAAGATGTGATTGTCTTTGCGATTCTAACACAGGGGTAAACCAGTTAAGCCACTTGAGCAGCCCTGGTGATAACAGGAAGCATTCTTTCTCCGTTAATCAAGGTGTCAGAACACTAAGCATAAGCTGAAAATAGGGCTGCTTTATGATAGCAATGTCCTTTACGTGTACTAAAAAAGAAATCTAATTTATTAGCCAAAAAGGCTAAGATGACTCTTTGTCAGGCGAGGCAACACGCAATGCCTGTACTTTGTCTTTTGCTGCTGTCCCACGGAGATCATCACATGTCAACGGCTATGTAAGGTACCTTATGTAAGGTACCTTATGTAAGGTAGGTAGGAATGACATCAATGTGCCCAGTACCTGATACATACGATGTTGTAGTGCGTCTAATATTACCTTTATTACCTTATAACTGCAGCATCATAACAGGGATCAAGAGGCACTTATTGACTGAAGAAAGTGCACACTAATTATCAAGTGATCAATCCCCAACACACCTTGGATGGCTTGATCAAAATGAAAGGGGAAAACACAATACATACACTTCGTATGGATATCAAGACCACCTTAAGGTACCTAGGTAGTGTATAATTACCTTACACCTCGCAGAAATATACGGACAAGGTGGGGAGTCTACTTGGCCTTGTCTACCCAATCAGAGGTAATGACGGAAATGGTTACTCAAAGCAAAGTCAGTCAGAGTGATGGTGAAGCACGTGAAGATAACAACCGATAACGAAATTGTATGGTAAAGCAGCTAGCAGAGATAGTGGCCACCTCTTGCACCTTCAAAGCTTCGGCGGTCTAGCGTCCATCCCTCTCTTACATGGACAATTGCCCTTTCTTGGCCCATATAAGCAAAGACAGATGCTAGTCTAGCCTGCCGACACTTCTCCAAGCCAAGTTCCCTTTTTGATTGTTACCGACTCAAGACTTCCAAGTTGTTTGCTTTCTGAGCCTGCCGATGAGGGATTCTCCACCACGACCACGCGCCGCAACAATTTCCCGTCACCTACCACAAGAAATCGCCATCCGACATCACGAGATCAAACCCCTCCTTGTCTCGACCAGCCGTTAGCCCCCGTCCTCAGGACCTATTACCTGGGTATTTCCACGTGGGTGAGCAAGCGAGCCCGTCGACCATCGGGGTGGCACATTTTCGATCCGATTTCCGCCCTCTTCCATCTCTGTCGGCGCGGCTCCCGCAAGCCAGCCCGTCGTGCCGATGTGGTGGCTCTTCCGAGTTTTCCTCAGTTCCATCTTCCTGCTTAGCATCGTTCTCTCGATCCCCGTCGCCTTCGATGTGGGTGGCCGAGACAGCGGGCTGGCGTACAGCTTAGCGCTGTCGGCCTTCTACTTTGTCTATTCCACCATCAGCGTCGTCACTCCCGAGACCTCCCGCGTTCGCTGGGCCGTTTCGAACCTCTTGCGCCTTTCTCAGTGGTTTGTTTTGCCGGCGTTGTTGATCTGGGCGCTGGGTCGCTTCGCCGTCGACGCGGGGAGCACCAACTGGGTTGAGAGGACCTTTGCTGGCCTGAAAACATCCAAGTCGGTATCGTGGGGAGAATGGATATTCGGAGAGCGCGGTCTCTTGGAGACGATCTTTTTGGGAGGGTGGGATAACACGCTGCGGTACTCCAGCCCGGTATTTCAGCTCTTGGAGGGGTTCTGCAGCCTGCTTGTCATCCAATCGTCCGGCCAAATCACGAGGTGGCTCGTTAATAGGGGACGGAGTGATACTTGGATGGTACGTCAACATGCTGCGCTATTGCACTTTCCTTTGCCCTGTCATGAAGTTACAAATGGCCTCATTTATTGCATCTGAGCTAACAAGGACGTGCAGATCGTGTTGCTCGGGTTCTCCGGCGGCATCATCGCCACCGCGATTTACTTCCTCTGGCGCGTGGCCCATTTCCCGTCAATCAGCAACATCGACGGTACTCTGATCGGAGTCGTCATGACATCAGCCTTCTTCCTGTGTGCTCAAGGCATCCACAACGGGCGGGGCAACGTGGTCGAATCGTCTCTCCTGTTTGCCTACATCGTCCTGTGCATCTACCAGATCTTCACCGACTACCTGCCGTCCCCGGAGGCTGCCGAATCGGTACTGCAGGCCTCGTCGCAGCCTGATTTCCCGCCCTTGCCTCCTATCATCATGGCCACGTGGTCGACGTTCCTGCACATGCTGGGCTCTCTCCCTTCGGTTGTCCACACCTCTTTGACGCTCCTCTATGCCGCGTTCCAGACCATCACCCCTTCGGTCATCATCTCTCTTACCTACCGACTGTTCGTCTTCTACTGCGCGACGCGTATCATCCCCGCGGTGCGCGAGTCGGGCGCCCGGGCCCTCATGCAGGAGCCTAGTATCGAGGATACAGAACCAGCCAGCCGACTACTGGGCTTGGTATCCTACTTCTCGCCGTCGATCCTGATTGCCATGTACACCAGTCTCCTGCTGCAGCATTTTAGCACGAGCGACGGGCCGGACGGATGGACGCTGCGCGGCGGAGATGCCGGTGGCACTGTGTGGCGGTGGGTGAACGTGGCGGCGACGATGGGCTTGTATGCCGTCGAGCTATATCTTGGCAACGATGATTCCGATCACTGGAAGATGGACTGATACGAATCAAGAGGATGTGTTCGACTCGCCGATCTCCCTGCTCCACTTCCAAGTAGGCTCCCCTGGTGGGGGTTCTTCCATCTGAGCTGGCCAACAAAGGAAAAAGAATGGGAATATCATGCGATATCAGATATCAGATATCCTGGGACGGTCGTGGTCGGGATTGACCGAGAAGATGGTGGCAGCCCAGCGTCTGAGTCGAGGGGCGTCGGTGGCATTTTTTATTTATTTATTTCTTGTCTATGGATCGGACTGCATATGTTCGTTTGTCACTACCTTAGGGATCCAGGATCCGGAAATCATGACAGGCGGTTGGCAATACTGGCGTTGGGGTGAGGGATAGCTGTCGACTATGGTGGTCAACGTCACCTTTTTTCTGTCTTTTTTTCTTTTCTATTTTGCTTCCCCCTTCACCTGAGCCTTTTCTTGCTGTGTTATAGGCACATTCGGTACAACTAGCATTAGCGATCTGGACATTCAAAGTGAAAATTGCGAGTCCCCGCTGTGTGCTTGTCACGTCGTCTCGATGGGTGAGTGGTGACTGGGCATCTATACCGTGTTCCTCGGTCTTGAAGACCACCTGAGGTCTTACTCTTTATTGTAACCCCAGTGCAATTCCTGGCTCTTGGCACCCTGGACAGTATCTCAAATGGTCAAGTCAAGGTGGTTTTCTTTCAACAACAAAGCACCTGGTGGAATTGGTCGATCTGGTTCAACTTTTGACAACAACTGATGAAGCCAGCGGCGATAGGACCTCATGAGCTCGTACTTTGAGACCGCCGATGAGCAGAATATCCGGATAATAATGGTGGACTTTCGGATAATTCGGTAAGGAACGGGAGAGATGCTCACCCAATTCGGTTCCGATGACCACGATTATGAAGATATATAGTATATAAGGTAGCTGTCGTGGTGCTCATGGTCGAGGACCTTCAGTGCGTAGGTCATACTCCCATAGTTGATAAGTCGTACTTACAGTGTCAGTCGTAATTACCCCGTACTTCCATGAAATATTGGCCAATGAGGAAGGCTCCTCGGTATATCCGTCGACTTGTTGCCGGCCATACCTCAACCGACCGACGAGGGGCATTCATGAGCAAGTTCAGGGTTCAGTTGAACCATCTCATCAGTATATAACAACCCCAGTTTTCTGTGAAGATCGGAACGCCCTTGTATCACACAATCCCCTCAAAGTGATCATGTCTGGCCCCGAGAATCCCATGCCCCCACCAACTCTCAAGCCCCAAGTGTCCAAGCGGACCATCCTCATGGCTGGCCTCCCCTGCGATGTCTATGGCCTTGAGGAACTTGCCTCGGCAACGTTATCGGAACAGGGGCTCTCTGGTCTCTCGTGCCTGTGGCTCCATCACCCGCGCACCAGGAGCAAAGAAGACATGGGTTCCTTCGCAGACCGCATCATGAGCGAATGGCATTGTCGACAAGAACAGCAGCAACAACAACAACAGCAGCAGCAGCAGCAGCAGCAGCAGCAGCAGAAGAGAAGCAGCAGGGGGAGGCGCGGACTCCTCGCCCTAGCGTTTGATCAACGAAACCACGGAGGTCGGATGGTCGAGGAGCGTGCGAACCGGGCGTGGCGCAACGGGAACCCAGCGCACGCCGTCGACATGTTTGGTGGCATTGCGGGAATGGTAACTGACACCCAGGGGCTGATGGACCTGGTAGCTGGCTACGTGAGGATGGAGGTGGAGTCGATCCTTCAACGGAGTGGCGAGGGGAGAGGCGGAAGCAGGGCGGAATGGGATGTCGAAGTCGACCAACATCTCGTGCTGGGCGTGAGTCTGGGCGGGCATAGCGCATGGCAGGCCCTGTTCGCCGAAGAAAGAATCAAAGCTGGTGTGGTCATCATCGGCTGTCCTGATTACATGGGTGAGTATTCCATTCGTGTTCCCGCCTCTGCAGGTTCCCTCCAGAACGGCAGCCCGACGCCCCATTGAAAACTTGAATGAGTGGTTGTCATGAGGATATGTGTACTTGTACTCGGCTGACGATGTGGTGACCACAGCGCTCATGTCTAACCGGGCGAAGTTGTCCAAGCTCACTACCTTCAGGGCAGACGACGACGGTGCTTCGTTCCTGGGTAGCAGAGACTTCCCCCGGGATCTCGTCCGCGCTTGCTTGAGACATGATCCCAAAGGTATTCTCTTCGGCACTGCCCCTATTCCGGAGGCCACTGCCACCCTCTCCCCAGAGGAACAGCGCAGGTTGCGGGGCATTCTGGATAACCACGTTCGAGGAAAGAAAGTGCTGGTCTGCTCGGGCGGCGACGACAAGTTGGTGCCGTATACCATGGCCCGTCCGTTCGTGGAGTTTTTGGAGAACGCTACTCGGACATGTTACGCCGACCTTGGCTTGGTTGTGGAAAATATAGTATACGAAGGTGTCGGCCATGTATTTAGTGATGGCATGGTGAAAGATGCTTGCCGATTCTTGCTTGACGAGGTGGAGTCCGCTCCCGTAGCTGATACATCTGCGACAGAGTCAGGCTCTAGGACTGCAGGTGATGAGGGTCGGTCGAAGATCTAGACGGCGCTGCACTTAATATTAATACATGCACGATCGTCTATGAATATCTGCATGCATTCGTGGACCTGCTTAAGCCCACGGTCTCACTTCCCCATCGACCAGGGCCTCCCCTCCATCATCCAACATTCTCGTCAAAAGCCCGCTCCGCGCCCTTTCCTCCCGCGAAACAAAGAGCCATTGACTAACGCCCCAGGGGTTCCTACTTGCCCTTTTCCCGGCCAACACCGGCCCCACACCATGCGGATCAGCCGTCCACTGATCCACTGCGCGTTGGACTCCCGCAATTGCACCGGTCTTTGCCACTTCGCCGTCGGCCGCGGGGACCATCCCCGGAGGGTCAACGCCGACAAACTCGACCCTGTCGAGCGGGAACCCGATGGCCGCGCAGTGACCCTGAACGATCCGCGGGCGCTTGAAGGCGTGGCTGACGACCGTGAGTCTACCGGGCCAAGAAGGCGAGCCGACCCTTCCGCGGCGTCGCCAAAAGTGAACCAAGGGAAATAGGACGTTGTGGTATGAGTCAAGCGCCTGTTCGTCCACGAAGATGCGGTTTGCCGCATCTTCGGCGGGGAGGATGTTGAAATAGGCGTTGGACGAGGCGAGGTTGGCGTAGCTCTGTGCTTCGGAGAGACGACGAGTCTCTGTCCTTGTTGGGCCGCTGATTTGAGCGTTCGCCGACTTGTTAGATTTAGGTCCTCGAAACGAGTCAGGGGAAGGAAAAAGTCGGCGACTTGCCCTGAGAAGACGAGCTCGGCATGCGGATCATCCCGGAGACAGGTTAGGCCGGCTTTGATATGTTCTATGAAGGTTGGTGTCTCCCCAGCTTGGAAGTCGGCGATGAGCCACTCAGCTTCGTCGGCGCCGCGGCTTGGTCCGCCTGTCCAGATACCGTGGCAGCAGACTATAATTAGGTGGTCGGGTGTGGGTGTTGATGGTGGCATCTTGTGTCGCACTCGCAGCGAAGATGCATGTAAGAAGTTGAAGTTTGTCTTGTCCATTGGGGTATTTAATATTAAATCAGGAATAATGACCGAAAACTGGAAAATCATGTGATTTTCCCGATTTACATGATCTTGAGGCACCCCGTTCGAAGAGACAAGAAAGACATCACCGCCAGAGACCGAGAACGCGCTGGCTGACACGAGGTAGCCAGTTCAATTACAGAAGGACTCTGGTTTCTTGCATTCAATAGCATACGGTCCGATGGGACGGGTGTCTCTTTCAAGATGAACAATGGCTTATGAAAAAACAAGGCTTGGAAGTCTTTTTCGGAGCCCAAGGGATGGGCAGAACGACGACCTTCACGGACCGCATGTTTCTCGTGACGACAGTCCACCTTGCCGATCTCCATCCGAAAATAATCGATTCCCGTCTAGAAAGCCTCATCGTTTGGAATCAAAGGGACCGGTCGTACAATCGGTACGCATCTCCCACTAAATACAAGCTGCCAGTCAGAACCACAGGCCCGTCCCGTCGGATCACCTCCGCGATACCCGCCGCCAAAGACCCTCTACCTTCGCCTTCACCCGACTCCTCAAAACTCAGACATGGAACACCTAGCTTTGTCACAATTTCGCGCAGCGACGAAGGCTTGACGGGCTCAACCCAAGGCATGGTGGGCCTCCTGCTGAACGCCACGCAGACCACACTGTCACCTGGACGCACGAGCGTACGGAGCATACCCGCGGCGTCCTTGCCGTCCTGTTTGGAGACGGCCACGATCCAGGTGATAGATTGGCCGGCGTTCTGCCTAACTCGACTCTCCACAAAGGTAGCCAGCGTCTCCGCGGATTGAGGATTATGTGCGCCGTCGATGAGGATCCTCTTCGCCTCTTCCGAGTCTTGGGGGTCAAGTTTCACCTCTATCCAGGACAGCCTCCCCAAGTGAGTGGTGCCTTTCAAGAGGGGTAGCGCATCACTGATGGACAGGCGAAGCTCCGGGAACGCCAAGCGGAAAGCGGTGATGGCACAGGCCATATTCTGCGCCTGGTGAGGCATGATGTCAGACTGAGAGAGCTCTTCTAGGAGACCTTCCTGCTCCGTAGTCACATGAAGCGGAGCGCCCACGGCGAAAGCGTGCCTGGCAAATACGTCGAGAACCTCGGGCGGGTTGCTCCCATCTACAACGCACGGGACGCTGGTCCTCATGATAGCGGCCTTCTCTTGCGCGATCAGCGGCAAGGTGTCGCCCAAGAGCTTCTGATGATCCAGACCGATTTTGGTGATAACGGTGACTTTCTTCCTGGCCAAGGCATTGGTGGAATCTAGCCTACCGCCAAGTCCGACTTCGACAATGCCAGTCGCGACGTTGGCATCATCAAAGGCAGAAAAGGCTACGAGCGTGCCTATTTCGAACTCGGTGAGAGAAGACAGAGACTGCTCCTCGAGAACGGGGTGGGTGGATTGTTGCGACTGGCGTCGCGCTTGGCCATCCAGCACCTGTTGGCGGAGCTGGTTGTACTTTTGCGCCGTTATGGGGACACCGTTGGTTTTGATGGCGTCGCGCGGCTCTACTAGGTAGGGCGAGGTGAAGAGGCCGTTTTCGATCTTGAAGCGTTGGCAGAGGGCGGAGAGATACGTGCACACAGAACCCTTCCCGTTGGTACCGGCCACATGGATGGCGTCCCATTTCTGGGTGATGGAAGCCATGGCGCGTGCCATGCGGCCGAGTTCGAGGCTAACCCCTTTCATGATGGACTTGTTGATGGCGGAGCGGCCGCCACGAATGGCTCTGAGTTGGTCTGGGGGTTGATGACTGTGTTGGCTTCGTCCTTCATGATACGACCATGGGACGCATTCAGCTTTAAATGACCAATGATGCTATGGTATTGGTGACGCGGCGACCATCATATCGTCAGCCATTCTTGTCGTGGATTCATTCCATTGCTGCTGGGTCAGTGGATGGTGAGCTCCCAACTCCAATCCTCAGAGGTATTTGTATTTGCGAGCAGGCGGTATTATCTATCTCCTTATCAGGACGTTTATCGCCCATGCTCATGTGGAACGCAAAGTCCCTAGGTACCTTCTTACGCGGATGCCGATTGCCTGGGAATAACTCCCATTTCATTTTCTTTCCTAAAGATGTCCATATACCTCCGTATTCGAGTAAGAGTATCGATATGGATAAGTACTCACCTACAACCGCACCCGGAACAGGACTCGAAGAAACGGGAGCGTGGCACAGGTTCATATGTTGTTGATCGGTGCAGGCTAATAGAGTGTACTTTAACTTATCCCACTGAATGTGAGAACCCAAAAGTACCCCACTAACAATTCTGGACCAAGGCATGTATGTCCCTTATTAATTACGTTGTACCTTACTTACCTTAGCTATTCCTGACGCAAGACCAAGGCAGGCACCAGCCACTTCCTTTGCTTACTTCCCCGTATTACTTACCTACGGGATACTTCGCCTTTCTTCGCTGGCCACCCCGATTCCCCTACACAGTAAATTCAAGCTTAATACCCCGTTGAACACCCTCGATTCCCCCATCCCTCATTTCTTCCTTTTCCCGTCTATCTGATCGCGTCCTATCTGATCCGATCCACATTTGCCCTCCCCATTTCGGCCCACGCAAAACGTAATCCAGGACAGGGGTCAAAGTGTGAAGAGCAAGACGAGCACCGGCTAATCATCTATCCATCATCCCTCGTCTCACGCGCAGTCGCATATACACGAATACACATCCTCATCTTCACTTATCCCTGCTGCCGACCGGCGACACTGGATTTCGCCCATCACAAAATCTGCCACTGACGAGGCCGCCTAACACCATCACCCGGCGTGCTTTCTCACGACACTTTGAGTCTCTTCGTTCCATCGCAAATTTCTTCTTTTATCCTGCACGACCCCGAAATGGGTCTCCCGTAAGTCCCACTACACGTTCATGTTTGCTCTCTTAGGGTTTCTCCTATTGGCGGATGCGAAACGGTGGCTCAACGTCGGCGACTCGCAGGCGCGTTGCTCCTCGCCACGGTCTATCGCGTCTTTTGCATGGGTGCTTTTGCACCGAATTATGATTCTTCTTGCGATGCTCCAGTTTCGCGCGTTCCTCATTATGCTCGCCATGTCGATCGCGGTGTTGTCATCGACCCCCTTTTCACCACAGCTTATAGCATCAACATGAAGCATCGTTACACACTCGGCTAATAATCCGATCATATCGATATACATAGTCTCTTCGTTGCCCCCGTCGACTCCGACATTGAGCCCAACTCACCGGAGAAGGTTCCTGATGTACCGCCGCGGACTTCCATTCGTAGGAGTCGTCGCCCGAACAACCGCGAGAGCCGCACCCTTCGCCGTCGCGCCGCTTTCCTCAGGGAATCTTTCCCGACATATGACCTCGAGGCGCCGTCTATCCGCTTTGCGCAGCCATGGGATAGCGCCGGCTTTCCCCCGCCTTCTGACCCGCCGGCCCGCTACCCCTGGATAGAGTCCGGCCAGCCGCCACCCCCAGAAGCTTATCGTTCCAACCCGGCCGCTCCGCGTCCGGCACATGGAGCTCACAGAAGTGGTCGCACAGCACGTGCGCGTGTGGGAACCAGTTCTGAAAACCCCACCATCGCGAGCCTTCTGGGGGACCGGTATGCGGTGGTTCAGACAAGGACCAGCGTCAGTCCTCCACCGGAAGGGGCGCAACCGTCAAGCCGGTCGAGATTGGTGTCCCGTCATGCAAGGCCGGGCGACATGGATTTGTCCGATGTCGATGGATATCGTCGTGATCGTATCGTGAGTCGGTCCCCTCTTTCCCTCCCCCCCCCGTAATTTGTCTGCTGTTTGTGCCTAACCGACGCGCGTCGCTACAGGCCCCCTCAGTAGCTGCTCGCTTTGACCGCAGCCCTGACCGAGGATCCCTCGGATCCCTCAGGTGGCTACAATCCTCCGAGAGCTCAGCGTCCAGGCGAGATCGGCTTTCTCGGGCGACGCACCGGCACGGCTCGCATCGTTCTACCGGCCTGGATGGACTCGGAGACCGCACGAGGAGTTTAAGCCCCGAGGTCTGGGATACCCTCCTCACCACGCTCACCCCCGATCCTCAGCCGCCTAGTGTGGAATCGTCATTCACATCGGCCTCAGCTTCCGCCTCTGCCTCCACGTCTCAGCACCAGGGTGCCGCAACATCATCCCGGACCTCGTTCCCCATACCAGACATGGCGTATGATCATGTGGGGGAACATCCTTGTGAGAACTCGGACAGTGAATACGATGAGCCCATGGGTGCGATGTTTGACGGCTTGGATCGTCTCGATATGTCGTTTGTCGACTTCCCGGTCCGTCGCGCACGACGTTTATTCATCCCTTCAAACGCCCATGACAGCGAAATGGAGTGGGAGGCGGCACGTCGGGCAGTGGTCGCCCGGCTCTGGCCGAGTGAACCTGGACGAGGGTACCTGGACGAGTGAACCTTTGCACGAGAAGCTCATTGTATGCGTGCTGGCAGCTGGACCCGAACTTGTTGTACACGTTATGATGTCTGTATTGGATACCTTAGATGCAGGGAATATGCTGGAGAAGACGACATGAGTGTCCTCTACCGCGTTATACTGCGCCCTCACCATAGAAGGATAATGAATCTCCAACTGTCCGGATGCGGGTGCTATCCGGGCTAGGATGCCATTGTTGCTGCTATTGACGGTCCATCATCTTCTGTTTCGTTTACTCGTCGCGACCCGGAGCAGTGTGGTGAAGTTTGGGAGGAGACCACCGTTCTGCTAAACGAGCGCTAGAAATTGTTTGTGTACTTCATTCGATCAAGCTCATGCGTCGGACTTGCGAAGAGCGTCAGATACTGTCGCCTTGTAGCGAGGAAAGGCGATGCGTGCGAAACTTGAAAAGGGAAAACAACCGGTACCAGCGTCCACGTATCTGACTTCCATCGTTCAACCGAAAGCCCCGCCAGACGGGCATCCACTTTTTCCGACCTCCGGGCCGACACCGAGACCCATCGGCCCCGAACATATCATATCAAATCGCCATGCTCAGTTATGAGTCGGTGTATGTTGGCACGGAAGCAGCGTTGCCGAGGTAGCTCTGTTTACTTACCACCTTTGCCTAGGGTACGTTACCTTTAGGCTTCCTCGAAAATTACATTGTAATTACTTCGTACCTGCATCACTCTGAGTTGTCGGAAGGGTACTCGGCGTTTCAACTGTTCAACCAGGTCGAGTAAGGTACCTACCTACCTTAGCATTATAACTCCCTCAGGTATATTACTCACACTTGTCTTAGCGCAGCACTCTAGAAGAAATTGACTGCCATTAATTTGGCCTGTCTCCCATGATACGTACCTACCTAGGTAATGCATCAATATCAAGGCATTTCTTACCCACGAATGAAACACCACAGACGTTTCGTTGTATACATATATCTATTCCAATATATGGCTACCCTGGTTTTGAAGTTGCAAGGCAAGTCGGCAAAACACTAGCTGGCACGTTCCAAAGACACAGGATTGCGCTTGATCTGGGGTATGAAGAATGTCCTTCTGAACCCTGCTAACCGAAGTAGGACAGGTACCCGATATGGCTTGGCATTACATGCAGTTGCACCAACTGCCCTGCCTGCTTCCCCTTCCCCCTTCTGCAACTTCGTAAAAAGTAATCGGTACGCTAACGTCACTGCCTCCCCGCCGAATTCCAGCGGGCTCCACCCTACCAGTAGCAGTAGCAGGTACGTTGTACGCCGTATCTGCGTACCTTAACCTTAGGCACCCCGGTACCTTAGTTTGCGTCTGTACCGACATGGGGAATCGAGCAACACCATCCATGCCCACTCGTCCATAAGACTCGAGGGAAAGCCCTGAATAAAACACCACTTCTTCACCCGGACGAGACGACTGCATTTTCGATCCACATTCTGGACAACACATTCATTCATTATCAGCCTAATCATCGCTCCTTTCCGTCCCATCTCACAAACGACATAGTCCCGCCGTACTTTCAGCCGTGTTGCGAACCTGGCTGTTCTGTTCTCACACCGACTCGGTCTTCGACGAAAGGGCAGCTCGCTGGGGGTATTAGCTTGGTGGTCGTGCGTTGCGGCTCGACCTCGCTGCTTCTTTCCATGGTTCAGGCTCCCCAAAGCTTCGCCATCGATCGTGACAATCTGCGCACGAGCTGGCATGCGGTAGGGTTGGGCATGTAATTCTTGCACTGGCTTGTCTGCTCGTTCGATTCCTTCGAGTTTCCACACTCTTTTCAGCGACGCCCCGATCCGACCCTCCCTACCGAACCTTCCCTACCGACCCTTCTGCACGTTTCCGCACGTCCACAGCACCTCTCCACCTCTCTCGCACAGCGGACGATACGAAAAAAAAAACATCTTCGACATTAAAACCGTGACCACGACTCTGATCCAGATAACCCCCTTGACGAACCGCGACTCCGTGGCCTGGCGAGGGCAGCCTCGTCCGACGTCCATTGGCCATGCCCACGTCCACATCCACGCATGCCCCCGCGCCGTCCTCGTCCGCTGAGCACCGCTATCACGCAAACGGAAGGGCGGCCGTGGTGGCATCTCGCGACAGGGCCTCGGGGACACCTCGCAAAGAAAAACAAACCCACAGGGAAACCTCGGCCGTGCAGGATCCTGGCCTCAAAGATTACGTGCGTACTCTACACACCCGTCGGCCGAAGACCATTATCTTGCCGCGCCTTGACGTTTGGGGGAGAAGGGGGGGGAAGGGCAAGGCGGGCTGATTTTCGTACTGGAGAGGCGGCTGACAAGTGTGATAAATACAGCGTCTGGGAGAATGCTTGGGCAAGGGCGCCTTCGGATCTGTCTACAAGGCCTTCAACTGGGGTACCGGCGAGGCAGTCGCTGTCAAGCAGATCAAGCTAGTGAATCTGCCCAAGAGCGAGTTGCGAATGATCGAGGTGCGTACATTCTCATGATGAGTTGGGTTTCGTTTTCCCTTCTTTTTTTTCTAAGTGCTACTGGGAAGGCAAGCATAGGGCTAACTATTTCTAGTCCGAAATCGACCTCCTCAAGAACCTTCATGTGGGTTGCTCCTTGTGGCCTTCGAAGAAAGAATCACCTACAGCCTACAAGGACGAAACTGACTATGGATCCAGCACGACAACATTGTGAAGTATCTCGGTTTCGTGAAATCAGCCGATTGTCTCAATATTGTCCTCGAGTATGTCTAGCCTCCTGCGAAGTCGAGAAACACCAACCATGCCGCTAACCGGTGGAAAAGATACTGCGAGAATGGCTCCCTTCACTCCATATGCAAGGCGTATGGGAAGTTTCCCGAGAATCTCGTCGGCGTCTATATGACCCAGGTTTTGCAGGGTCTGCAATATCTCCACGATCAAGGTGTCATCCATAGGGATATCAAGGGGGCCAACATTTTGACCACCAAGGACGGCACGGTCAAGCTGGCTGACTTTGGCGTCTCGACGAGCACACTGGCTGGCGGTCAAGACAAGGAGGCCCAGGTTGTAGGAACCCCCTATTGGATGGCCCCTGAGATCATCCAGCTTTCTGGCGCCAGTCCGGCATCCGACATCTGGAGTGTGGGCTGTACGGTCATCGAGTTACTGCAGGGGAAGCCCCCTTACCACAACCTGGCTGCTATGCCGGCCCTGTTTGCCATTGTCAACGACGACCATCCCCCACTACCCGAAGGGATATCCCCTGTAAACCCCCCCTTCTCTTCTTCGCTATATGTCTGCCCTTCTTGACTGACATGCATCAGGCTGCCCGAGATTTTTTGATCCAATGTTTCCAAAAAGACCCCAACCTGAGAGTGACGGCCCGAAAGCTGCTGAAACATGCCTGGATTGCTGGATGCCGGCGGAGCGATGCACCCGTCTCCAAAGCGCCGTCCAACTTTAACCAAGCCGTCGAGGAGGTGAAGCAGTGGAACAAAGCCCTGAAGTCGTCCGAGACCTCTCTCCGTGCCTCCAGCGGCTCTGAAGGTGGTGGGATGTTTGGCCATGGAGGCCACCCAAGTTCCAGACTTCACGGGCCTGAACCTCACAAGCCGAACCTCGTCGCTTCTGCAAAGGGACCGCTGTCTTTGGCCAAACCGAGGCCTAATGCCGATGCATTCCGGTCCCCTGAACTGGCTGGTACGCTACCTAGCTGTCCTGCCTGCTCCTTTCCACCCTCCTGTTTCCGCCCTTCGCCGAACTCAACCTAACATTTCTAGATGACGACAACTGGGACAACGACTTTGCAACTGCAATCTCTCCCGGCGCCCTCCAGCTACCTCACCTCAAACCTCAGGATAATTTCGGGGGCATGCTCTCTTCAGACAGACTCAAGGCATTCGCTTCCACCATGGACCATCGTAGTCATTCTGTCAGCTACGATGAGGACTTTGAGGGCGAACTCATGACCATCAAAGGTCCAAGCCAAGGCATCTTCCATGACCTTGACTCCCAGGAGAAGACCATCCGCCCGTTCCGCCGAAATAAGAGCGAAAATTTCCCGGAGCCCTCAAAACCACAATCACCGGCTAAGTCAAGCCCCCGAAAACCAAGCCATTCTCATAAACCTTCCCACTCCAGATCTCCCACCAAACCGCAACTGGGAAGCAGCAGGTTCGAGCTGCCGCCACGGCCTGATCTGGCATATCGCGAACAGTCCGTCGAAGACTATTCGGATCTATTCTTTGAGAACGACAATGTGTTCAACCAACGGGTTGGCTCTCTTTCAAAAAAGGTGAGTAACTAACCTGGAAACCCCCGTCAAGGATGTTGCCTCTCCCACGCCCACGCCCACGCCCACGCCCACGCCCACGGAGTTGGACGCAGGTAGCTGTTGTGGTTACTCACACATTATACCTTTCGTTTTAGGCCGATGCTCCACAGCTTTTCCATCCCTCAGACCTAACAACCCTCCCCCCTTCCACGGATCCGCCTACGGGAGGCAGCACGAGACGAAAGGCTGCGTCAAGGCCATCCGTTCTTCCAGACAGATCCATGCACAGGGCAAGATCCTCCATCGAGATCCAAAAGTTCGCCGAAGACGAAGAGGAGGATTTCTCTGATATTTTCGGACCCGAAGAGCAATCGACGGAAAGGGATGAGAGTGACCGTGGGTCAGAAGACGGTGGTCTTATGCTGCACTCCAGACTCTCTAACAATTCTTGGCTCGGAGACGACGATGACGAGGATGACCCTTTCGCTCTTATGGACCCTGGCTGGGACGAGATGGACTTGGAAGCCAACATTGCCCGGGATCGACATGCTCGGCGTGCCGAGAAGGTTGAGGAACTTGTGCGCTCTCTGAAGACGACGGAGGGCGAGGAAAAGCTCTCGATTTTATCCGAGGACCTGGTAAGTTCAGGGCTTTCCTATTGTCTGTGGCTAAAGAGAAATGGAACTGACATGAAACGATAGCTTGCTCTTCTTTGGGAGAATACCGAGGTAAAGGATCTCGTCATCAGCGCCCATGGTTTGCTGCCCATCCTGGAGATCCTCGAGCCCTGTACGGTGAAGAGCAGACAGCACATGATCCTGCAACTTCTCAAGGTGGTTAATACGGTAAGCTTGTGCACGCCGATCCCTTTACATTGGTACGCTGGGGAATGCTCATACCGCAGTAGATTATCCTTGACGACGTCGAGATCCAGGAGAACCTGTGCTTTGTGGGCGGCATCCCCATCATTACAAAGTTTGCCGCCAGGCAGTATTCCAATGAAATTCGGCTCGAGGCGGCGGCGTTTGTGCGCCAGATGTATCAGACCTCGACGCTCACGCTGCAGATGTTTGTGAGCGCTGGCGGTCTTAATGTTCTAGTAGAATTTCTGGACGAGGACTTCGACGATGCCAGAGACCTAGTCCTGATTGGAGTCAACGGTATTTGGAACGTGTTCGAGCTTCAGGGTCCCACGCCTAAGAATGACTTTTGCCGCATCTTCTCGAGAAGCAAGATCCTCTATCCCCTCGCCTTGGTGCTGCACAGGGTGCTAGACGAGGAAGGAGAGGATGAGTTGTCTGAGCTCATCGAAGCCCGCATCGTCAATATCTTTTACCTCTTCTCCCAGGCGGAGAACTACGTCAAGGAAGTCGTCGCGGACCGTCAGGTCCTAAAGAGTATGTTCCATCGAGAAATATGGCCCCTTGGACCATGGACCGCCTGCTGACTTTCTCTCCCCCCCTTTTTTTTTCAACTAGGCGTCCTTAAGGATTTAAGGCGGATGACACCCGTCCACCAGATCACGATGCTCAAGTTCATCAAGAACCTGTCCATGCTGTCGACCACCCTTGAGTCGCTACACTCTGCGGATGCCATTGAGCTCTTGATTGACCTGTTGAGTTACAGCATGAGAAAGGGTCACAAACACTTTCGGGAGATCTCGAATCAAGTCTTGAACACCATGTTCAATCTTTGCCGCCTCAGCAAGGAACGGCAAGAGGACGCGGCTGTGGGAGGAATCATCCCGTTACTCATGCGGATTATGCAGACGGACAGGCCGCCGAAAGAGTTCGCCCTTCCCATATTGTGTGATATGGCTCACTCTGGAAGCAAAGGCCGCCGCTATCTGTGGCAGAACAAGGGCTTGGACTTTTACATTTCGCTCTTGCCTGACCAATACTGGCAGGTCACTGCGCTCGACGCCATCCTCGTATGGCTCCAGGAGGAAACTGCCAAGGTCGAAAGACATCTTCTCGAGGGGAAATTCGCCGACGCCATTGCGGCGTGCTTCAGTACGAACCGGATTAACTCGTTCGACTCCAATCTCCTGGAGCCTCTCCTCAAGCTGCTGAGGCTAAGCCCGTCCATCTCGGGATCCCTGGCTCGACCTGAGATGTTCGCGGGCATCGCTCTGAGGCTCGGTCACAAGAAGGCAGTGGTGAGGCTCAATCTCCTACGCCTGGTGCGCAACATCATGGACGCATGTGAGCTCGAAACCGTGGATACAGGCAAGGGCAGCAGCGCCTTGAACAGCAAGCAGGTGCATGCTCTCATGGCAGCCATCAAAACCCTGGCCGAGACGGACTCGGCAGTGCTTGTCCGGAACCTGGCGTCCGAGCTGGTGAAGTCGCATATCGACGACGATGCCTTCGAGGGTATACCTTCCGAGCGTAAAGGGTCTGGCAGTAGCGTGTCATCGTCTCGGCGCTCGGGATCGGGGCCACGACGCAACTCCTCCTTCACGCCTCCTGGTCTTCGCGCGGCGGCATCCATGCCCCCGACACCTACGCACGCTGGCGCGCCGCGTTCTCGGGCGTCTCTCCATCCCGGGATGCTCAGTGGTGCCTACATCGAGGTGGCATCCAGCCCGCGTCGCAATCCGATGACGGGCTCGAATGACCGGGAACCGCTGGTATACCGGCCGCGGAGCAGGGAAGGTCCGACAGCCATCCCCCGACGGGTCAGCGGCGACTCCTCTTCCGCAGTGGGCATGCCCAATGGTTGTAGCATTAGCAACAACTCGCCGCCGTCGTCGTCGTCGTCGTCGACGTCATATGGAGCCAGGAGCCGGCTCCCTAGAACCTCGACAAACCCCAGCCGGTCCGGGGGCGTCTCGGCGCAGCCTCCCATGGTTCGAGCGGATAGTGCACCGTCGGGCAAGGAGAACTACGGCAGAAACCCCTCTTCGACCGCTTCTCAGCCAGTGTCTTCGTCTTCGGTGACAACCAGTGTTCTGGCCGGAAGGAGGCGGAGCAGGGCGCCTAGCAACGACGTACAGTGGAATTGAAGAGCGACGGGATGGCTAATCATGTTGGTATTACGAGCATGAGCTTTTCTTTTGTCTTGATACATCACGGAAGTATACATCTTTGTGGTAGAAAAGGCGGTGTGGTGAATATGCGGCTGGGCAACGGTGTTAAACAGGTGGTTGCCTTTCCAGGTTCGTTTGGCATGTTTACGTTTGGTATAGACGAAGACGATTGAGCACGAGCACGAGCACGAGCACACGGGGTATCATGACGGAAGTTGAATACAAGAGGGAGGACAAACAGGAGAATAGGGCTCTGCTCTATTGTCTGCTTCCCTCCTCGATGAGCTCAAGAGAAACAAGAAAAGACTTGCTGCATTGTATTTCATCTTGTCCCTTTTTTCTTCTTCTTTCATTTTTTTTGGCTTTACTTCTTTTCTAGGGGTTATTTTCCCTTACACCTGTCTGGCTTTACTTGGAGCCAAGTCGAGGCACGCTGGACGTGTCCCCCCCCTCCCGTCCCGACAAGGGACGAGAACTTCGCACCACGAGACATAGTACGAGTTGATGAGGAGGCTGAAGCCGTATATAGCAAGCAACTGTGTAAGTATCGACTATGATGCGCAGGGAGCACGGTTTACTGGTTCGTGTCCTTGGGCATGTTTGATAAATAAGAATTCAGAGTTCTAGCTAGGATTTATCACAGCGGATGATTAAACTACCTTAGCCACCAAACCTTGCCCCGAAGAATGACGGAAATGATTCCCATATGTATCTCCTACCGGAGAAATCAAGACCCGCTCCATCTCCACAATCACACCCACCCTCTCAGCTAGACGACGGCTTGTCGGCGTCCTCAGAGCCCTGGGGAACCATACCGCGCAAGGTGAGATCGTAGACAACCTCTTCGACCCGCTGAACATGATACTTGACTCCATCGACACGCTTACGCAGGGCATCGTTCTTGAGGTTGAGGACTTGGAAGCCGGCGAAAATGTCGCCCACAAAGGAGGCGATTTGAATAGACAAGGCCGGATCGCCCAGGGTGACGGCGTTGGGAGCGAGGCGGGAGAGTTCCTGTGTCAGGTCGACGAGGGCGAAGAGGTACTCTTCAATGGTTATGTGGAAGCTGTCCCTGTCCTTTAGGTTTACGGGGACTTTTTTCCCCCCGGTTTTGTTTTCACCGGTTAGCGAGGTCTGTTTGAACATGATCGAGGGAGAGAAGGGAGTGGTAGAACAGAACGGGGAAATGAACAGGTAGGGAAGATACAAGAATTGCGCCTACCTTTCAATATGGAGCCTACCTCCTCGATGGTGACGAGACGGCCCTGCTGCGGTTCTGTGGACTCTGCGCTGCTATTCGGGGAGAGACCGCCGAGCCAGCCGCAGAGGAGGACAGTGAAGATGGAGTTTTGGATCGAACGGGACCATTTTTGGTTGTACCTGGGGGAAGATGGAGATGAGAATTCATTAGTACCTTAGTTGCGGTAGTCATTATTTTATTGCACTGCACGTCTCGTCTCTTTCGAAGATGGGGACGAGGCGGAGTGTGAGTCGTCTTACTTGTAGTAGGGATGCTGGGAGGCCATCTCGTTCAGCTCGCCAATAACAGTGATCTCATCTTGAATACCCGCCTCGACCTGTGCGAGGAAGGCAGGGTCTGGTGTTCATTCTAATGTCAGTTTTTTTCTTCTTCTTTTTTTTTAAAAAAAAAATCTTTTTTTCTTTTTTGAAGCGGAAGGTATAAAGGAAGCTCACATTGCGATCGTTGGGTGGCATGAACGCGGGACAACAGGCCCTGGACGTGTGAGATGGCGCGGTCAAGGCGTTGGATGACCTGACTAAGGGCATCGCGGACCTGCTGGTCCTCGTCGATCTTATTCTTCAGATGGTCGAAGATCTTGGGATCAAGAAGGCGGGTGTTGGGAGCTTCGGTCATTTTCGTGTCGCTATCCATGTTGATGACTAGTAGTGGTTGCAGAGTTGGATGGAAGAGAATGGCGTGGTGACGTCTAGCGGGACAGATTTATTTAGCTTTGTTGCTCTTCAGGATGGTCACAGCTGAGATTGTCAAGATGACTGTTTATTTGCTACCGTATCTTATTCCGACACGTTCGACATTTTGGAGCACATTGGTTGCATCAAGTTCTGCTAGGCAATCACCACCGCTATGTTTTCTACATGTTGAACTCGAGATCCATGTGCACAATCCAGATCATCTCCAGACCTAGTACTACTTGTCTTCCACGGTCGGATGCACAAATAGCCGTCTAGTCAATATCCCGAGACCCTCTACGAACCACCGGTATGACGTCCTCCTTCGAGACGGCTAAGCATGAACATCTTCTTCGCAGCCCTAGACCAGCCAGAGCTTGCAATGAAAATGAGTGGTTCGCGTCACCTGGAGGCAGTGTAATACCAGGGACACTGTGGGCAAGGCCGTGTGCAAGCACAGAGGGCCTCGCCCGAAGGCCAAAAATAAGATTAATCACGATTGGTCTCCTTAGAGACCTTTCAGAGATTAAACTGAAAAGAACAGATACTACACTTGATCTAAGCCAAAAGGCTACAGGGAAATGTTCGTTAGCACATGTCTTGGCATGGTTCGTGTGACCCCATGGTTTGAGGCAATTTGGGGGTCGGGTTCAACGTACCAAAGAGAGCTAAGGAAGAAAGAGAAAAGAGTTCAAAATTGCCGCCAGGCGGCGAGAATATATACCCAGGAAGAGGGCCCGTGCACGGTTGAGAGATCAGTAGGTGGGTACACCACGTGATGCGACAGCCTCTCAAAACTGTGGTACGGAGTACATAGGTAACTCCGTACCTCCAAGTCCGCCCCCCCCAACAGGGATCATGATAAGATAACCGCTCTAAATTATCGAGGGTATGCCTTTGTGGAGATTCTACCCCGCCAATATCGCCCACCATCGCCGACTCGGATCGCAAATGTGATCTCTGCCGTGTGCCTTGCGCCTGACTCATTCAGAGGAACGTCAGCCTTAATTTTTTTTTTCTTTTTTCTTTTTTCCCTTGGGCCAAAAAAAGTATCGAAATCTCAAATCACTCTCCGTCCCAAACAGGTCCTCCTGCCTTTTCCCAGATTCAGATTTGAGTGGACTGAACCTGCCATTATGACCAAGGAGGCCCGTACCGTCCCTGTGGTCGCCTCCGCCAAGGAGGATCCTGCCTTCTTCGCCCACCGCCTCGTCATCTTCGATAAGCTCAAGGCCGAACAGGATAAGGCCCTGGCCGAGAAATCTCGTGATCCCATCACCATCACCCTTCCCGACGGAAAAGAAATTCCCGCCACCGCTTGGGAGACGAGCCCCGCCGACATTGCCAGGGGGATCAGCAAGTCCCTCCTCGACCGTACCGTCATTGCCCGCGTCAATGGATCCCTCTGGGACATGACCAGGCCCCTTGAGGGTGATGCCAGGCTCGAATTCCTCGACTTCAACAATGACGAGGCCAAGAAGGTGTACTGGCACTCCAGCGCCCACGTTCTCGGCGAGGCCGCCGAGAAGAAGTTCAGCTGCCACCTCTGCTTCGGCCCCCCCACCGACGAGGGCTTCTTCTACGATTTCGGCATGCCGGACCAACATGCCAGCGTCACCGCCGATGACCAGAAGCAGCTCAAGAGCCTCATGGACTCCGTCGTCAAGGAGAGGCAGCCCTTCGAGCGTCTCGTCATGTCCAAGGAGGACCTCCTGCACATGTTCGAATACAACCCTTTCAAACAGGAACTCATCAAGTCCAAGGTGCCCGACGGTACTTCCACTACCGTCTATCGTTGCGGTCCCCTGATCGATCTCTGCCTCGGCCCCCATGTCATTGACACGGGTAGGATCAAGGCTTTTGCCATTCTGAAGGTAGGTGCCCGCATCCAAAACAGAAATGAAAGCCAATGATACCCCGAGATCGTCCCCTCTCTTTTTTTCCGGCCCGCCTTTCGTAAACTAACAGGATCAACACGTAGACAGGCGCTTCGTATTTCCTAGGCGACCCGAAGAACCCGCCCCTGCAGAGAGTCTACGGCATTTCGTTCCCGGACAAGAAGCTTCTTGCTGCACATCTCCACTACCTCGAAGAAGCCGCCAAGAGAGACCATCGCAGGATTGGCAAGGACCAGGAACTGTTTCTTTTCCACGACCTGTCGCCCGGCTCGCCATTCTTCCTCCCCCATGGCATGAGGATCTATAACGCCCTCAAGTCCATCATCCAGAGCGAATACCACAAACGGGACTACGTGGAGGTCATGTCCCCCAATATGTTCAATGCCGACTTGTGGAAGCAGTCTGGGCACTGGAATCGTGCGTCTCCCCGTCTTCCATCTCCCTCCTTTTTTCCAGTACGGGCATTGGGCGATGCGTAGAACCAGAAAGCTGACCTGTCTTCAGACTATCAGGATGACATGTTCACTTTTGAGGTCGAGAAAGCAAAGTGGGGTAAGAATTATCTTGTCATTCTTTTAGCCCAATTTCCTTTTTTTTTTTGAGAGAGAGAGAGAGAGAGAAAAAAAAAAAAAAAGGGAGGGGGAGAAAAGGGAAGGGGGGAGTGAAGTCCTGCCCTGGAGAGGCAAATTCGCTAACTTCAAGCAGCCCTCAAGCCCATGAACTGTCCCGGACACTGTCTTATCTTTGCGTCGAGAGAACGGTCATATCGCGAACTCCCCCTTCGCATGGCCGAGTTCGGCATTCTTCATCGGAATGAGGCCTCTGGCGCCTTGACTGGTCTGACCCGTGTTCGGAGATTCATTCAGGATGACTCCCACATTTTCTGTTCGGAGGACCAGATCGGACCGGAAATCACCGGCCTATTCGACTTCTTGGACACCGTGTATGGAAAGCTGGGTATGCAATTCAAGCTCAAGCTCTCCACAAGACCCGAGAAGTTCCTGGGCGACGTTGAGACGTGGCAAAAGGCCGAAGATACGCTACAGGCCGCCCTGGAACAGTTTGCCGTGTCTCACGGGGCCCAGTGGGAGCTCAACCCTGGCGACGGCGCCTTTTATGGACCCAAGATCGACATCACCATCATGGACGCGCTTCACAGGTGGCACCAGGTAGGCTTTCTTCGACACCCCCATCCTTAAGGCGGAAAAGGAAAAGGAAACGTCGTCACTGACAAAACGAAATAGTGCGCCACGATTCAGCTGGACTTCCAGTTGCCCAGACAGTTCAATCTGACTTTCGTGACCGCGAATACCTCATCCGAGGGGTCCGCGGCATCCAAGCCGGTCGAATCGGCGCGCCAACCGGCAGCCCAGCTTGTAGACGGCGCACAATCAGAACCCCCCAAGGAAGGCTCCAAAGACGCACCGAAGGAGGTAGCGAAAGCCGTCCCCGCTGGACATGCCCGGCCAGTCATGATTCACCGTGCGGTGGTGGGCAGCTTCGAGCGCTTCATCGCCGTTCTGACAGAGCACTTTGCGGGCAAGTGGCCGCTCTGGCTTAGCCCTCGGCAAATCCTCGTTGTCCCAGTCATGACGGATGCGGAACCCTACGTGAAGGAGGTAGAGGCGCTGCTGAAGGAGAACGAGTTCTATGCCGACAGCGATCTCAGCGGTAACACGATGAACAAGAAGATCCGCAACGGCCAGCTTCTCCAGTATAACTTCATTTTCGGTACGAAATATCATACCCCTTGTCCCCCTTTTTTTTTTTTTTTTTTGGCGCTGTGTGAGAGATGCGGCTAACCCCCTTGACTAGTGCTCGGCGCGAAGGAGATGGAGAACCGTACTGTCAGCATCAGGGCGAGAGATAGCAAGGGAGACCTTGCCACTCTCCCTCTCGATGAAGCTTTGAAGAAGCTCCGCCAGCTGCGTGATACCCGGGAGCTAAATAACACGCTCGAGTGAATTGTTCTAGACGGAGAAGTGCGGAGCAGGTTTGGGGGGGAGGAGAGAGAGGGGGAAATGCATGTGAAAGGGACTTAGATCGTCCTGGACCTGGATCCACTTGGCCTCGAGATACACGTAGATAGACCCAAATGGTTGCTACAGGTAGCCGGCATCATTGGTGTCATTATGTGTTTAGCTGATGAATAGATGGATGAGATGAAGGAATATTTCACGATGTGCACGGAGTATGGTTTAACTCTTGGTCGTCCAAATAGCTTCATGCACGTCTCGTCTATCGTAAATCGTGAAGTGTGGGGCCAAAAGTCCTACACATTTCAATATATCTGTGTTCCTCTGCTCCTGAAATGAACTTCAGTGAAGAATGAATACATACATTGGTGATTGCCTGATTGGCAAGATGCCATGAACCGACCGTTTTTCAGCCCCTCCCTCCGAGTGGTTGGAAAGCTCGACTAGACGAAACGTGCATAAATGCCCCACATCGCCGGAGTCAAAAAAAGGGGTCTTGGTAGGTAGGTGCAAATATCAACAAAATTTTCGATTATCCAATGAAAAGATGTTTGAGTCTTCTCACGCCTATTGCCTACCTGGACGCGGGCCCTGGCGTGACACCGACACGAGTACGAGGGCGGATTCTCGACAACCGGCACGTTTCTCACCACTACTCTCCCCCTATCCACCCTAATAATTAATAAGACTTGTTACCGTTTCCCCATCCGTCCGAGTAGTGCAGTGCAGGTATTCGGTTGACTGGTCCCAGCGTCTCGTTTCGTGGCACTGTTTTGACTTTTCACCCCTATCGTGGCGCCTGGCTGCTATACGAAAGCTGCATGTCTCCATCCTGAGAATTTGGGTGGCTTTTTGTTGGGTTTCGTCTTGCTATATATTCTCGCAGCCATCATGTCCGGCCGTTATTCGCTACGGGCTACTCCAAGGTTAGTTTCTGGGCCAGTTTTCTCCTTATTTTTCTTCGTTTCCGGGTTTGAGGCTTCTTTGAGGTGGCTTCATACCACGTTTATATCTCTGTATGATCTTGGGAAGCCCCCTATCTCCCCACACACGCCGCGTTCCCTCATACCCATCTTCCCCAAGTAACTTTTGGCAACAACGCCACCCCTTCGCCTCCCCATTTGGCGCCGTCACTGAGGAACTCTCAATTCCTCTTCATGCGGACTTGAGAAGCTGACACCATTCTTTAGAAAGAAAGAGCTCTTCACTGGCATGGTAGAGACTCCCCGACCTGCTCCACGTCGAAGCTCTTCCCGCCGCAAGTCTCCTGACGAGACACCCGAGACCGAAACCGAGACAGATCGCGCTTCCGAAGAGCCAAAGGCCGGACCTCGACGAAGAGCTACCGGTAAATTCCACGAGGAGTTGGACACTGAAGAGGAGACAATGCAGCCCGTCACCAACGGTCGCGTCGCAAATGGCCATGCGAATGGTCATACCAATGGTCATGTGAATGGCCATGCTAATGGTCATGCGAATGGTCATGCGAATGGTCATGTGAATGGCCATGTGAATGGCCATGCGAACGGCCAGACCGTGAGCCCCAAGAAGCCGGGAACCAAGCGCGTCTACAGGAAGGGCGAGATCGTGGACGGTTGGGAGGTTGGCACAGATCCCAAGATCGACGGGTCGGGCCATTTCGAATTCGGCGGCTCCCTGGGCACCCTCTCGCTCATGATCTTCTTCCCCCTGCTCATGTGGTACATGTGGATCGGCGCCACCTACTATGATGGCAAGCTCCCGTTACCCGAGCCCGGCCAGTCCTGGGGCGATTTCGCATACCATCTCTACGACCTCGTCTACACCGGCGCCTTCCCCCACCGCCGCGCCTGGGCCATCTACTGGACCTTTTTCATTTTCGAGGCCGCCTGCTATTGTCTTCTCCCCGGCGTGTGGGCATACGGCAAGCCCCTCCCCCACGAGGGTGGCAAGCAGCTCAAGTACTATTGCAGTGCCTACGGCAGTCTCTACTTCTCCATGCTGGTCGTGGCGGTCCTGCATTTCACTGGCATCTTCCCTATCTATACCGCCCTCGACGAGTTCGGCCCCATCATGTCCGTCGCCATCATCAGCGGCTTTATTGTCTCCTTTCTCGCCTATTTTTCCGCCCTGTGGCGTGGCGCCCAACATCGCATGACCGGCCATCCCATTTATGACTTCTTCATGGGCGCCGAACTGAATCCCCGCATGTTCGGCATCCTCGACTTCAAGATGTTCTTCGAGGTCCGCATCCCCTGGTACATCCTCTTCTTCCTGAGCTGCGGTGCCGCCGCCCGGCAGTACGAGCGCTACGGCTACGTTTCCGGCGAGGTCCTCTTCCTGGTCATGGCCCACTACCTCTACGCCAACGCCTGCTCCAAGGGCGAGGAGCTGATCCCGCCGACCTGGGACATGTACTATGAGAAGTGGGGCTTCATGCTCATCTTCTGGAATCTCGCCGGCGTGCCCCTGTCGTACTGCCACTGCACCATCTACCTGGCCAACCACCACCCCGACGAGTACCGCTGGAACCCCATCGCCCTCGGTGCGCTCTTCGTCTCCTACCTGTTCGTCTACTGGATCTGGGACAGCTGCAATTCCCAGAAGAACCGCTTCCGCTCCGCCGAGCAGGGTCGCCTTTTCTTCCGCAAGACCTTCCCGCAGGTGCCCTGGCAGACCGTCAAGAACCCCAAGACCCTCACCACTCCGCAGGGCGACACCATCCTTGTCGACGGCTGGTACGGTCTTGCCCGCAAGGTCCATTACACCTGCGACGCATTCTTCGCTATCTCCTGGGGACTCATCACCGGCTTCAACAGCCCCTTCCCCTGGTTCTATCCCCTCTTCTTCTGCATCATGATCGCCCATCGGGCCACTCGTGACATTGAGAAGTGCCGGCAGAAGTATGGCGAGACTTGGAGGGAGTACGAGCGCCAGGTTCCCTACCTCTTCATCCCGGTATGACCCCGCTGTTTACTTGTCTCCCTTTCGTTCAATGGCCCTCACCTCTCTGGGAACTTCTGCTAACTGCTACTTGAAACAGTATGTCATCTAAGCCGACATTATTGGGTCCCCGTTGTCGAAGCATAACCTTGGGCTGCGTTAGTTCCGCTTTCCTACGAACTTTATACGACTCACTTGACTCAGTGTCACGATCTTCCTCCTTTGGACATACACCGATTCCGCCCACTTTCACCACAATCATTCCTAATAATATAATTCTCGCTCCTGCGAGCCTTTTTCCCTTGCCTTCCCTTTAATTTTTTTTTTGTTATCATTCCCAACACATTTCTCCATTGCTGTGCTTCAGTGTTCATGTATATACATATAGGTTACCACCTGCATCACATATTGTCACCTCATCTCGGGCGATGTATTAGGGGGGAGATATTGGGTGCTGTTCATGCTGGGTGAGGGCAAGGGATGGGCCAACGGCGATACCCCAATAGATTCGCAGACGCTGCGACGGCGTACGTCTTTCTTCATGTTCTCTTTTCTATCCATCGTGTGGCGACGGTGGGCCGAGGCAACATTTTCTTATAGATATCTATTCCTCGAGATATGAAGGCCATCTTAAACATGAGCTTTCGATATGTCGTCATTTTCTCAGTCCTTTTAAGTGGGAGTGTGTTGCGCAATACTTATATATGGCTCAGGACCTCGTACCAGCCGTCCGGAGAGTGCCTGAATCCTCGTAGCCGACAGAACGGATCAGGCGCCGCTCCCCAGCCAAGACATCATGTATACTAACATGAGAAAATAAAAAGAAAATACGTGCCCTCGCGGTTTGGCGGTTGGCTACCGGCAAGTCCAGAGATTTGTACCTTTCGCATTGGCATATCTTAAGAAGGCAAGGCAACTAAGCTCAAAGCTATTTGGTACGTGAGGCACGGCGGCGTGATCGTTTTGGATCGAGCCGGAAGAGACCCAGAAACTTGGACCCCACGATGTCATTACGAGTGAATATACAGCGTATGTGGCATGCGACCTAGACGAAATACGAGACGTAGAAGAGCATTACCTATCAACCTAGACTACAGCCGTCTCCGCCGCCATCTATGCTGAAAACCCGCCCGAGAAAAACCGAGATGGAAAAATGTGAAACAATAGTACATGATGCGGTGCTCCCTTCCCCAGTCCAAACGTCCACAAACAGGCCAGAGTCGCTTGTGCATGTTGCGCAGCTCTCTCTGTCGTGGCATCCGTTCACATCCTCCCGCTCGTCGAGCAGAGTCCGGTCCACGGATTCATATATGTGGTCGCGAAATCGTGATTCGCAGGAATAAATTGCCTCGTGTCTGCGGGGCAACTCGAAAGGCCTCGGCGCAGATTCAACAGTTTGTCGACCATCGACTATCCAAGCCCGTCGTTATCGTTGGGTCTTTTTTAACACGAGGCGTTGAGAGTGGCCTTGGAGTTCATGAGCAGAGCCACAATCAAACCATAAAGACCTAGAGACGAGAGAAGTCAGTGTCAAAACCTTGGACGGAATGCCAAACAGGGGATATATGTATTCTGTGGTGCACACGTACCCAGGACTTCGGCGAAAATGAGGATAAGAATCATGCCGACGAAGAGACGGGGCTGTTGAGCGGTGCCTCGGACACCAGCATCACCGACGATACCGATGGCAAAGCCTGCGGCGAGACCGGAGAGACCAACGGAGAGACCAGCACCGAATTGGATGAAACCGGTGTAAAGAGGCATGGTCTGGCTCAGACCGTCGGAAATAAGAACGGAGACGACTAGACCGTAAATACCGATAATACCAGCCATAATGACTGGGACGATGTCTGGACATATTGTCAGCCGTCTGATACCCTCAACCTCAGGATGCGTTTTGTAGGGAGGATTATGCGGTTCGTACTCTTGACGATCAGGTCAGGACGGAGGACACCCATAGCAGCAATGCCGACACCCGACTTGGCGGTACCGTAGGAGGCACCCAGGCAGGTGAAGACGATGGCGACGGTGCAGCCCATGGCACCGAAAAAGGGCTAAGCTCGAGTTAGCATCGGATTAAGCGGTGACAAAGCCTCGGTCAAAAGTAGTCCATCGACACCTAAGGGTGGCCAGCGTCGGGGCAGCGGGCTGACGAGGTATAGGTAAGAGGACGACGAACCGCGTAGACGGGACTGGAAACGCATCAAGGTCAGTACAATGGCACTATGGGATGAAATGGCTGCCTTATCGTCGAGATGCGAGCCGTGATAGATGACGGGGGAGCTCCGGGAAATTGATGAGAGGTTCGGGAAAGGGGATAAACACGTAACCGACGTACCAGAGCTCGGAAGACATCTCGGCGGCTGTTGAATTGGAACGAAGCTAGAAAGAAGAGAGAACGATAAAGGAGCGTGTTCCTAAGTCAAATGAAAGGTCGAAGAGGAGGCGAAGAAGTATTGCAGAGATGAGTTGATGTCGGTGTATTGAGTCTCAATGCTCTTGTCGTCTGTTGGTTGGTGCAGGTTTTGCGGCAAGCTCCTGCTGACGTAACTACCGCAATGGGAATATAATTTACCCGAGCTCCCTTTGCAGGTCCATACGGGTCCGAGTGCCAACTATACGAGGCAAGGTCCCAGGATATTAGTCAGGCTCAACGCGCCCATCTGAGTAAGGCAATCAATTACTTAGGTAATTAGGCCCTGCCGAGAGTTTCTATTATATTCTATCACGTGAGTCACGGTATAGTGCTCTTCTATTAGTTAAAGGTGCCCTACTATCCTCGCTTAGAAGGTGGTAGATATATTTAGGACACGTATACCCGCACCTTTTTCTTTCTCTTTTATATATAATATAATTATATATTTCCTGAATTAACGCTCCCTATAAGCACGCTTCTATTAATTTAATAGTTATAAGCCCGGGTAATAGTAGTAACTAATAACTTCCTACTAATCTATTATCTATATTTATTTTTATATACTTCTATAGTATTACGGAGCCCTCCTAAGCTCTCTCTACTAATAATAAGCTCTTATTCGCTAAACCCTTACTTAGCACTATATCGAATAAGCTTAAGATCACGGCTAAAACGCTCGGTATCCCGCGCCTTAAATCCACGCGGTAATAGGCCGATTAGATCTTCTATATCCAGTTATATATATAAAGGACAAAGGTCTAGGTATTACTCGATCCTAGCTAAAAGGATTAGCTAAATAACCGTCCTAAGTATATTATACCTAAATCCCTAGATTAACTACGCGAATAGTATTTCTAAGCGAGGGCGATAATACTATTATACCCTTAACGTAGAAGCTTATACGCCTCGCCGAAATCGAGAATTAGTAGACTATAGTCTAGAATTAAAAGCTCGGTCGCCTTATTAAGGCGGTAGATAAGGCTAATTAACTACTTAAAACCACCGTAAAGACCTCTACCTATTAATAGGCTATCAAAGAGGCTATTAAAAAATATCCCGGCTACGAAAAGAAAAGATAAAATTAATACTTTATATTACGCTATATAATAAAAGAACTTAAGAGTAGCTTTACTCTAAGTAGTATTTATACGAAGGAAAAGGTAAGATAAGTATACGAAAAGTATCTATAAGACGCTTAATGAGCTAACACTAAAGCGGCTATATAGTATATAGAGTAGAATACCCTTATTAGATGCGTATATTAGTAAAAGGTAGCTAAGATTAAAGGACCTATTATTATTCGGAATTTCCTTATAGTAGTTAGATAGAAGTTTACGCCTATTTAGACAGAAATGAAGCTTTAGGAGCTAATAATAAAAAAGGTTTATAGCGATAAGATATTATGCCCTATCCGGGCACGACTCTGGCTAGACAGCACTATAGGACCTAGACGGATCTAGGATTTAATATACCCTATCCGGGCATAACTCTGGCCAGCCAGCACTATCGGACCTGGGGAACCCAGGATTTAAAGGGTGACCTTTACTGCAGTAAAAGAGGTATAATAAAGATGTCTTATCTAAGCTAAGGGGGCGCGCCCCCGGGACTTAAGTATCCACGGGTGAACCCCGTGGAATCCTCGGCTTCTACGTATAGGAACCCGGGGGATTCCCCGGTATTTATTAATTATACCCTAGGGAAGCTATAGTATACCCTAGGGAAGCTATAGTATACCCTAAAGGTACCTATAGTATACCCTATAGGTGCTATAGCTTATACTATAGAACCGCTAGGGTGCCCCGTGGTACGCCCTGGTATTCTTAGTGGAATCCGGGGCGTATTAAATACCCCGGGTAATGAAGCCCTGCGTCCCGCGGGCTTTCCCCGGTAACTACGGTGGCCTTACTTAAGGCTTATCGCGGTTATACTAGTAAACCGCGGTGTAGTTAGTAAGGACGGAAAGAAAATATTCTTACGCGGCGGTGCCTTATAGCGACCGCCGCTGTTACTACCTATTACCTAGCTAGGCGGTAATAAGAGAAAAGAAAATAGAAGGAATATACCGACGCCTTAGCGTCCTATCTTTACGGTATACCCTAGTAAATTCCTATAACGCCGCGAACCTTTCGCGCTATTCCGTGCAGTTAGTCTAAAATAGTCACGCCATCGTTATCCTCCGTGTCCGTCACGACTTATACTTTATCCGGGAAGCCTTAGAGGTTAATATCGACCTCTAAGATAATGGATACTTTATCGATTATTATCGTATCCGCTAACTTAAGTAGGTTAATAGGGTCGATATCGCTAAACGCTAATAGTCCGGTATAAGTGCGGCCGGCGTGCTATCGTTTAAGTATAGCGCACGCTAGGATAATACAGGTTACTAATTCACGGTCGGCCGTGATACGATTCGCTAGCTACTCTTTATAGCCGGCTAATAGTTAACTATCGCCTCCGAGAGGCCTTAGGTACACGAGCTTTTCTATACGGAAATAGCGAACTACTATTATTAGATCTAATATATTCTATACGGCGCTAGGGGCGACGATATCTTCGATTATAGAGTAAAGCTATTTACTGGCTAGGATTAGTAGCACGGTTCCGTGGCCGCGCTAGTAGACTATAATAAGATCCTAATTACCCTTAGCGATCGTGTAGAATAAGGGCCGCGCGTGCTTATCGCGTAATTATACCCCGAAACACTTAACCGTGTCTATAAGGAGTTTCTCCCGGGACCCTTCCACTATGATACGCTTAGCCGGCATCGTTATTCGTTTATACGCGTTTAGTACGGGCCGTTTAGACGCCTTAGCAGGTATAGTAATATTCGGCACGCCGCCCTAGCGTACCTAACCGAGGAAGTTATTAACCGATAGGATATTAATAGCCTAGTCGTCGTTATAGCCGGGGCCTATCGCTAGGCCCTTAAGGAACTTTCTAGCTAGCTTGTTACGTTTTACTACTTCTTTAGCGTATTCTTAGGACTTACGGCGATACTTATCTTCGGTGATAGTCTTATCTTATATACCTTAAAGATTATATATAGCCTATAAGAGGAAGGTTTACTCCCGTTAATAGTTTACTATATACTTAGGAATAGTCACGATATTACTTATAAGGGGGTTTACGGCGGGATTAGTGATTAGCGAGCTACTTACCTTAGCATTATTCTTTAGATTAGTGTATACGGTTAACCGGGGGCCCGATATAACGGCGGGGGAGTCTACGTTCTTAGTAGTGGTTTTTTAGGGCGTTTTAGCATATTTACCGGTATAGTTATATAGGGCGTCCGCGTTATATCCTATAATATATTACTTAAATAGGGTTTTTAGCTAGTGCCATAACGCGATATACTTACTAGCGTCTAGTAAATATTCGGGCTAAGGGTATTAGCTGATAATTAGCTTAGCCTTAACCTTAGTCACGCCTTAGTTTACTTAGGGATAGTCGGAGGGAACGAAGATTATACGGTTTAGGTCGTAAGTGGCGGGATAGTCGTATCCTTAGGCGTTTACGAAACGACGGAAATCCTTAAGTTTATCCTTATATATTTCTTTCTACACGGTAAAACACGTGCCGAGGGTGGAGAGCTTATATTCGAGTCTCTCCTATCTACTATATAGTATAACGGCGCGGAGGTATCCCTCCTTAGTAAGCCCGTGTCCGGCCCTCTTCACGGTCTTAAACGCTTTCTTAAACGTTTCGCGGTACTTAATATCCTTTAACGGCTAGTAGGAACTAGGAAAGGTAACTATATAGTATACCGCGGGGGGCGGTATAGGGAGACAGCGTTAGGGGGGAAGGCAGGGAACGTGTATGGTAAGGTATAAGGGAGCTAGGAATAATGAATTAAATAGATAATAAGGGACCGTTCTTAAGACGACGATATTATAAGGGAAGTATAGGAAAATAGAGTAAATCACGATAACGATATAAGCGATCGCGGTAGTAGTGTATAGGAGAAGGAGGGAGGCGGGCTTAGAGTATTATAGGCGCGCCGTTATATTTTCTAGTGTCTAGTAGAGCGCCGTGGTAACCGTGGTTATTACGGCGGCCGGTAGAAGGCGTGTATAGGTGGTAGTCCTTTTATTCCTACTATTCCCTAGGGTTTCTAAGCGTTATCTAGGGCGGTAGTAATATCCGTTTTATATTATATTACCGGGGCGCCTAATAATACCTTAGTAGTCTTCTAGTTCCGCCGTTTATACCGTGGTTCTTTAATATCCTTTAGTTATAGCACTTTAGGGGCTTCCGTTTTCTTTAAGGCTATCCTTAGATTATCTAATATCTTTTATCTCCCCTTAAAGGCGTCGATAAGCTCTCGAGCCTCTATAGCTTCTTTCGGTATCTAAATATTCTAGTAAGCTAGCTATCCCTTCTATCGTACTAGGTACTCAGTTTATAGCTAACCTCGCCCTTTACGTGTTATCCTTTTATCTAGGATCGTCTTAATTTTATAATACTTATATGGGTTACGCTATCGGTTATTATCCTAGTCGCTTATATTAACTAGGCCTACCTCGGCGTTCTATCCAGGGAATAAGTCTTTACTCGGGTCCTTAGCCGGTAGTAATTAAGCGATACTAATAACTAGATAGATATTTATTATACTAAGTAAGTTAAGGCAGTACGCTAGCGGCGTTACCTACTCTAAGACCTTAAAGGGGCCTATCCATTACTAACCGATCTTAGTAGATAGCTTATTAGGTAGGTTATATCCTTAGCCAAGCCGGACATAGATGAAGTCGCTAGGGGCGAACCGCACGTTACGGTGTTTCTTATCGTATAGCCGCTTTATATATATCTATACTATAGCGATAGCGAGCTTAGCGTCTTCCTAGAGTATCTCGCGCGAGAGCTACGGGCTAGCTTCCCCGAGGAGGTTAAGGGGGCCGTTAGTCCTTATACCGTATAGTATCTTATTCGGAGTATATCCGAGCACCTTATAAAAAGTATTATTAAGATTAAACTATAGTGGTATAATGACTTTTGCCTATAGAACCTCGGGGTTCTAGGCGAGGAATATACG